TTCAATATTCAATTCAGTTTATTTCTATAGCGCCAAATTCACAACATGTCATCTCAAGGCACTTTACAGTTCAACCAGATCATTCAGTCAAATTGATTCAAAGTTTTCTATCTAAGGAAAACCAGTTGATTGCATCGACTCATTGACTAGAAGGCAATCCCTCACACTAAGCTTGTAGCGACAGGGGAGAGGAAAAACTCCCTTTTAACAGGAAGAAACCTCCAGCAGAACCAGACTGTATGAGCGGCCATCTGCCGAGGCCGACTGGGGTTCAAGGAGACAGAAGCAGGAATACAAAAGGCAACTTTAAAGGGCGGCCCAATCAAGGAAACACACAGCCAGGCAGACGAGCTCCGAGCCAGCTCCCATGTCAGGGGATGAATCAGAATCAGAATCTGAATCAGACATACTTTAATAATCCCAAAGGGAAATTACATTACATTGCATGAAAGAGAGCACATCCAGTTAGTCACAGTCAGAGAAACAGGACTACACTGGGAAACAGCCCGATGTCGAACATCATGTGGTTCAGGACCATAGACCCCGTTTTTCTTCCAGTTATTACTTTGTTTGCTTTTCTTGGTTCCTTTCCCTTCTTTCTCTCTGGGCAAAGAGTAAAGATGGTCCTCATTTCAACAGAATGACATACGGAGGCCTTTGATTGTTTCCTACTCCTTCTCAGCGGGCTCAGGGCAGACAAGCTTTTTTGTTGAAAATTCCTCAGATTTTACCAGGCTTAGTCAGACCAGCCCAGCTGTAGACTACGCTATCAGTTTTACTGCTTTGTTCCAGTAACAGTAATCCTGTTCATTCTAGAAATCTGGTGCAAACTGACATCCGCTGTCGCAGTTTTCCTGCAACTGAGCAGAAATGCACCATTTTAAAGGATCAAGGCCGTCTAACCTGATTTCAGAGTATAGTGGAAGACCTGCCCTCTCCACTTAATAATGGACATGCACAACCCTGTAGCCGCTCCCGAGAGGGTACGCCTATTAAACAAGTGTGAGAGCGTGCATGAGCCCATTTCTCCTTGAGGAGATGCGGGGACGTGCATATGCTGAAAAAATATAGCGAGCTGGGGACGAGCGCGTAGGACAGCCTTAAGTAAACATGTTACCAGAATGATGAAAAATTAGGAGGATCACTTATTTATATAATCCACCTGGAAATAAAAGATTGTCCTCTATACCTTTAAGTTGGTACGATGAATGACTTCCATCATTCCATCACTTCCATCACTTTTGGTCGACTGTTGAGAAATGCGCCTATTTTGGGTCAAAATGTTCTATTATTACATCTTTAACCACAGTAAAGAGTAAAATAATGGCTAACATTGTGACATTGATGGAAAAGCATGTCACAGACACTTTAAGTGGAGGCAGGAGGTGAATGTTGCTGCTTAAATTTGATGTTAATCGAGTCACAACTCTAAATTTTTTCCTTCAGATTCATATTTTTCCCGATTTTGTAATCATAAACACAGTGGTTTGTTGAGGTTTTGTTGTCTATTGGGATCTAATCTGAATTAATGTACTTGCATAGATCCAGAGGGCAGAGAAGAAGTGACAGACTACCAGGTGCAGCTGAAGCAGATGCTGCAGGATTTGGTCAAAGAGAAGGAGAAAGATGTGGACAAACCTCTGCCGCTTATGAATCAGGTGCTGAAAACTACAGCTGCTCCCTTCTGTTCCGATTCGATGCAAAAACTCAACACCTCCTCTTCTTTTGCAGCGAGAGTTTATCCAGTTCTGTAAGACGCTTTACAGCATGTTCCATGGCGCCCCCGAGGAGAATGACCTCTTCCAGGCCATCGCTACGGTAACCAGCCTTGTGCTGCAGATCGGCGAGGCCTCCCACCGGGAACAAACCAAAGCGTCTGACGGGACTCTGGCCGCAGATGACGAGTGGACGGTCAGCTACGCTCAGATCCTGGCGTCGCTCCTCACCGAGCAAGCGCTGGTCAACTTCTTCGAGAAGTCCGCCGACCTGCCGGCAAAAATCGCACAGGCCAAACAGAATCAGTACCAGCAGCGGGCGGGTTTGCTCACACTGCAAGGAGGGACCAGGTGACTGACGGAGAGCCTTGCTGGACATAAACGTCATGTTGGCGTCTTTTCATCTAACAAGAGATGCTAAGATTAATGCTACAGTTAGAGTGCAGCCAAATGATGCTGAATGACAGATCTACTCGATGCTGCCTTCTAACGCCGCCACCGTGAATCCTGCCTGTACCTCTGTTAGATACATCCTCTCATCACTTTCTAAAATGTCGCCTTCTGTAACGTTTACACTTTATGACTAATTGCAGCATTAATTATCATTCAAACTTGATTTCAACAACCTGCTGTTTCCAGGAACCGCCTTATGGGAACATTTTAACCGACGGACCTTACAGACTGCTCCCAGGGCAGATTTTTACAAGCTTCTCTGTTTCTTTCATATGAAATGTTTCAAGATGCTCACTTCTCAATTAAAGAATTTTTTGGAATAAATTTCCTTCTGTTTTTTTTTTTAATTTAAATTATGTACTCAGTGGCCAGTTTATTAGGTACACCTTGCTAATCCTGGGTTGTTTTGACATCACATGGAAAGGATGCTCTTTGGATTGAGATCTGGTGACTTCCTGTTGATACAGGAAATGTATTGTCATATTTTTAGCAATGATTGTTTCGTCTTCTGTCCTACTTTCACTTATACTGGGATTGTGTAGTTTGGTTAGATTACATAAACATATACATTAAGCTTTTTGGATCTGAAATAATTAAGGGTGGAATTATATTTCCCCCTAGACTCTCGTTAAAAGTTGTACATGTGCAGAAGCTCCTCTCCAATGCAAAAGATAGGACCATCTTGGAGCTCTCCTGCGCCCAGAGCTGAAAGCAACTCTATATCCCACCATAGTGCTGACGTTACAGTCATCTGTCATAAAGTGTGGCTGTTGACAGGTTGAGACACAGACGTTATAGACGATTGGGGAGAGAGAAATGGAGCAAGGAAAATAAAATTCAGTGAAGTTCCTTAGAGCAACACCTTTGAGCGCAAAACTTACCAGGAGAAGCTGGAGGTGAAAGCTCTTGAATCTGATCACCCTAACAATAAAATTAGGAGTCCAATGACAGATGGAGACGGTACACTCTGTCTTTTTCTAGGACCTGGTTTAGCTAAAAGGCTTGGTTACCTGCATGCAGCAAAGCTAACACTTTATTCATCAGGATCTGACCCAGCATAGATAAAGACAGGTAGGACTAATTAGTGTCATAAAAACAAGTGTTTTTCTTATGTTTTTTGCTGTTGGCATTCAAGTAAATATACTGGTATGATACCTTAGTGTACATTTGATTGGCTTTTGGTCTATTTTGAAATTATAGCCCCCTCTGGAGAATACTCCACCTGCCTCCACTGATTCTGAGCAAACCCAGGAGGAGATCCACGCGTTTGTGTGTGTGTTTATGTATATGTAAATATATCCATCCATTTTCTGTCACGCTTATCCCAAGCGGGGTCACAAGGGCTGCTGGTCCCTATCTCCAACTGTGTATGGGCGAGAGGCAAGGTACACCCTGGACAGGTCACCAGTCCATTGCAGGGATATATATATATATATATATATATAAAGGGTGTCGGAAACAGCCGCCAACATAGGGAGGAGAGCAGCAGTGCAGCCCAGGACCAGCCTCAAGCACCACCTCCTGGAGGGATGACCCATACCCGCTACCAATATACGCCACAGCAGATAGCCAACCCCCTGCAGATCCCACCATGGCGCCTGCCAGTCATAGCTGCGCCGGGCCCCACATCCATACAGTCCTCTCATACCCATCACTGCCAGGCAATCACAACCCAGGTAATCCACCTCTCTAGGCTGAGAATTGCTTGCCAGCCATCCGAGCCCAGGTGCCACCCCCGAGAAGTCCCCCAGCCAACTGTAGGCATAGGCCGCATGCAGAGCCAGGGCAGGGAGAGATGCATCCTGGCACGGTGATCGTATTTCACCTGCCGTAGAGCCACGCCAGCCAGCCGCCCCTGCCAGGAAGGGTGGGGCCAAACCCTCTGATGTCCCAGACGGGGTTCTCCAAGGATGCCAGCTCTCCTACTGACCCCAATAAACACCCTACTCTCCACCTGGGGAGCAAGGCATCAAGCACCAAGGGCAGACCCCCAGCCAGGAGTGCATAGTGCATGTATATAGAAATCTGGAGCAATACTTTACTTTTACTTTCCTGTGGGAAAGCAAAATTGAAGATGAGATCTCCTTTATGTCACATTTACATCTCCAAGATATAAATGAGGACTGATTGAGACCAGAGAGGTTTTCTTATTCTTCTCAAATTTCTCTCCTTAGAAACACCTTAAGTCTCACAGTGAGCCTTGTGCGAGTTCTCTAAAATCTCTTACAGCTCTTTTTTTTCCAGATCTCAACTAAGAGAAAAATAAAACAATGTGCAAAAGCCTCAATTTCATCTCCTTATTTGGATCCAGTGTCTCAGTTTTGCCTCATTGAGAAATAAACATGCCATCTCTCACTGCTTATTCAAATTCATCTCATCTCATTCTTTATTTCGTATTCAAAAAACTGCAACCAGAGGGTTGTCAGTTGAAGCCCTGGTTTTGGATTTCAGTGTCGTCGTGTCCTCGGGCGAATGACTGAATGTAGTGAAACGTGCTTTGGTCATTTACCATCATGAGATCTCTTTTCCTAATGAAATGGTGCTCAAATGATTTTCTCAACTCTAAATGTTTTTGTGATGTCTCTTTTTATCGTATCTCTTGCTCCTGGGGGACCCTTAGGACAAGTAACTCAGAAGCAAATGATACGAATATGAGAAGCTCAAACTGATCTCAAGAGATGAGATTGAACAACAGATGAGCAACACATTTTTCCTATAAAAAGATGACCATCATCTCAAAGGTTTCCTAAATAAGCTGCTAAAGTCACCAAATGTTTGGATGTGAATAAAACAAAATAAATGATGAAGAGCAATGAAAGGAAGGAGTCAGAGTGCTGCAGGAGCTGTTGTGCTTTATTAACTACAGATTAAAGGTGGAGGACGAGCCTTAGCCAAGACCCAGATCATCAGAAGAAACAAAGCACACAGAATAATGCTGTTAGCCAGCCTTCCTTAGAAAGGAGGGAAAACTGATGCTTATTTCATACAACTCTTTAGGAGCGGTTTGATCATGGAGGAGATGGATGGCAACTTAACTCTTAATTTATTCATCCAGTTCTTCATTAGTCATTACTGGTTCTAGTCCAGAGCTTTTAGAGGAAAATACTCTGAAGTTCAGACATAAACAGTACATTAAATTACGCTATCAAATGGTTGAAATGTACAAAGCAGTAAGTCGGAGCTGTCTGTTGGAGAGCCGTGCTTTTTCCACAACAGAACCTTGGAACGATCTAAAACAGTCTGTATTTTATAGTAGGCATGTTTCGGTGAAACCGGTTATTATGTCACGTCATGAAGCTTATGTCACATCCACAGGAAGAACGGCAGCAGCAGCAGCATGTGAAGAACAACAGACTAAAACAGGAAGTGCAACACAATTTCCAATAAACGTTGAAGAGCAACAAGAAGGTGAAAAGCTACAGATTGCACTAAAGCCACTGTGGTGATGGCAGAGGGACCAGTCAGCTTGCCCTGTGGATGGGGTCTCGCCCACTCTGGAGGGACGACGGGCGGGCTCCTTCTTTAAATGGCTTCCACATAGTTGGCGGGCAGCATGCCGGTCTTGCCGGTGCGCTGCACGGTGCCGTACATCCAGCCCTCGTCGATGGACTGCACATTGACAATGACATCGCCATCTTTGAATGACACCTCGTCGCTGTCCGCCGCCGTGTAGTCGTACATGGCACGCACGGTTTTCTACAGGAAGCAAGGAGACGAACCAAGGGTGTAAAAGTTTGTGATGAAAGTTGGTGGAGACACGGACTTACAGTTACTCGACACAAACCCTTTTAAAAAAGGGTTTACATTTTCCAAAAATGAGATTAAACATATATTTATTGAATGCTTTCCTATTGTTGAAAACACAAAAGATCCAAAATACACTAATATTTATATTTATAGGTAGTCAGACATAAATGTATAAAAAAAAAAAAATGGATAAATGCCAATTCCGATGCCAACAGCACAATATCATGCCTCCCTAGTATGCACCACTGGAAAAATGATCTAGAAATAAGTAAAAATGTCTTAAATTAAGTGTATTTAACCTTAATTTGAATAGTTAAATTAGATAGTTTGCTAATGGAATTAGTATTTTTATTCTCTTAAAATAAGATAATTAGATAAAATGCCTTTGAAATAAGACAATGCAATGGTGTTTTCTTATTTTGAATGTAAATTGTCTTGTTCCATTGGCAAAATGTCTCTTTTACCTCCTCATTTCAAGAACAAATGCACTTATTTAAGAAAAAATCTAGATTTCGCGTTTTTCCTGTGCAATTTCAGTTTCATCCATCCAGAAATTGATTGATGGATGTTTTCCCTTTCAGCTACATTAGTGATTATCCTCCTTCAAAAGCAGCAAAATCAAATTTAGAAATTTGTCTCACATATTGCCAAAGTCTATGTATTAAAATTATTGGTGGGGACATGTCCACACCAGTCCATCAGAAAGTCTGTGAGACGAACTGATGAAGGGCCGAAATGATTCGATACAAACCTTTACATTCAGGCTCCAAAACATGAAACTTTATTTTCATATAACTGTAAAGTGCCTTGAGATGACATGTGTTGTGAATTTGGCGCTATATAAATAAACTGAATTGAATTGAAATATAACTATATATAACTTTATTATCAGGGTGAGAATCTATACGTGCATCTGAGTCTTGTTTTTAAAACCGTTTAAATGAAATATAGTGAGTATAAGGTGAGTGCAGGTGACTGACCCCGGTGGTAGATGGGTGTGAGGGGATGGAGGAGACTGTGGTCTGCTGGGTGGCCACAGATGAAGACCTCTGCTGCAGCTCCACAGTCCTGGTCTGCTGGTATCCTGCTGATATGAGATGAACAATCAGGCAACAAAGAGTCATGGAACAATCAGGTGGAGACTGTATATGCTCAAGTATATGTACTGATATGCTGATGATGTGATTGTAGATAGTTACCCATAGAGTTGGTCGTGAAGCCGTTACTGTAGAGAGACAGATGGGGGTCAGCATCCTGGGAAAGCTCGGACTTCTCATCGGCCAGGCCGCTCAGGGCGCTGGTGGAGCGGGAATGCTCCTTGCTGCGACGCTGCGCTTGCACTGTAAAAACAAAGTCAGCATGAGAGAGTTTAATGGTACATTTTAAACTGTTTATTCAAATTAAGGACAAAACCTTAATGCTTAATGTTAATAACCACAAATGCTGCCTTTAAAAAAAAAAGAAAAAAAAAGGATATTTTCGCGAGTTTATTTTATTTTTGCCAAAGGAGTTTTCTTTGTAAGACTGCAAAACATTCTATAAATAATTATAAGTTTCTTAACATAGGTGTATTTATCCTTAATTTGAGTAAATAAGATGATTGGCTAATGTAATGAGAAATTTTACTCTTATAAGATAACTGGACAATATGCACTTGAAATAAGACGATGCAGTTATTTTTGTTATTTTAAATGTTAATTGTCTTATTCCATTGATAAAGTGTCTCACTTACCTGTGCAATAAAAGAAAAAAAATTACTTGTTTTAAGAAAATTTGACTTTTTTGAAATTTGAAATTTTTTGCAGTGTAAAGAAATACACTAATTCTTCTTTGGCCTTTATCCTAAAATCCAAAATAAAGTTAATCGTAAATCTATGAATGGGTGAAATATGCATAAAATGAATGGAATTTACAGCAGAGCTTTAAAAGTCAGGAAGGAAACCAAGATGAGACGATGAGAACAGAGGAAACAAAGAATAGAAAGGAGGTCAAAAAGTACAAATGAGGGAAGAAAGAAGGAATGGGGGAGGACAAGGTTAACTGTGGACACAAAAAATAAAATATATGACCGTTAAGTACATGAATAATCAAGAATGAAAGAGAAAACAAGACAGGACAGAAAGAAGGGAAGGAAAGAGAAAAGAAAAGCATGAAAAAAAGGAGACAGGAGGAAGAGGGGCAGGGTAAAAAAGATCAAATGGAGGAAGAAGGAAGCGAACACTAAGAGGACGGATCAAAGGAAAGGCAGAATAAAGAAAGGAAGGCAATAAAAAAAAGGACCTCAAGAGAAAAAAGCATGATAAGAAGAGCTATCTGGAGAATAAAAGGTGAATAAAAAGGAAACACAAACATTTTCCAGCTCTTCTTTGCTTTTTCCATAACATCCAAAATACTAACCTTGAACACTTCCCAACCTTTCTGAACTGTGTGGAGGGCCTGTGTTTTGAAATAAATTCTGACCTTTGTTGAATCCTACCTGACATCATGTGCAGACTCCTGGACTGGATGTTGTCCTCGGCGGGGTCATAGTCGAACACGGAGCCGGGGTTGGTGCGCCACACACGCAGATCTATAACAGAAAATTGAAAAGATGCATTTTATCTCAGCTTCCTGTCTGTCTCATAAAGGGTAAAAAAAAAATACTGATATAGGTTTATTTATTTTCATAAAGAAAATATACATCCTTAAGATACGCCAAGTTACCGTACAGGTGAAAGAATTATTGCTTTACTGACTTAATGAGATGAACAGCTTTAATTATTAGTAGCTGATCTAAAAGGACTGGAACTTAGCAGGAGTTAGAGGTCATACCGGTGATGGTCTCCTGGTCGTGCTCCATCGCACGTCTCCTCTCCATCTCCACCACGCGCCTCTGGATGCCGCGGTAGCTGATGTCACTGAAGTCCTGCGTGTTCTTCTTCACGCGTTCGGTCACGGGGTCAGAGATGGTGGGAGTGAAGCTACCCTTGCTTTTCTCAAAGTCCTCGTGGTATTTTACCTGAATGAGGCAAATAGAAGCCATATGAATAAACAGTGTTAAAAAATATATTATTTACAAATAAAGCTTACTTAATACGTCTGAAAATAAGCTAATACTCAAGCCAAACGTTGCTCTGTGTTGCCTTAAATAAATGCCAGTGCATCCGACCAATTTAAACTTGGGAAGCCATCACTGAAGCAACATCATCCAGCAGGTAAAGTACGGTAGTGGCAGCATCATGAGCCAGGATGGAATAGTTGATATTGAATTTATTACAATAGAAATATATGGCTAAAACCTGGAAGCTGTTGAAATTCTCAATCAATTCAATTTCAGTCAAATATTGACTTTTTTTTGTGCTATTAATAGACAAAAATTCAAATTTTCAGAGATTTACACCCCAATTACTCACGGAACACAAAACAAGCAGTGGCGGTTCACAAAATTTACATGGGGGGCAGGGATTTTACATGAGGAGGTGAATAAGACATAAAAAAAAAAAGAAAAACAGAATAAGAGCTCTATCTATAATTCATTTTGCTTAATAAAAAACTAAAGAAAATCCTTTTTTATTTAACATTTCCCTACTAAATTAAATATGTAAAAAACAGATAACGAGCATAACAATTAATATTTTTAAACTTTGCTTTGGGCTCTAAGGTATAGTCAAGTAAGCATTATAAAAGGGACATTTGTTATATACTATTTTAGGAAGTAAATTAAAAAAAAAAAATACTTTCTGATTTTTAATTGTTTCTGGTTATAAAAAAACCCCAAAACAAAGCAATGATCTCAAATCTCAACTGTAAACTGTAACCAAGAATTGCCCCATTGTGGGACAATAAAGGGATTTTCTATTCTATTCCAAACTGAGAGCAACAAATGATTTACACTGGAAAAATTATCTAAAAAAAAAGTAAAAATTTCTTAAATTAAGTGTATTTACCCTTATTTGAGTAGGTAAATAAGATACAGTAGTTTGCCAATGGAATGAGTTTATTTATTCTTCACATAAGAAATTTTGATAAAATGAACTTGAAACAATGGAATTGTGTTTTCTTATTTTAAGTGTAAATTGTCTTGTTTCATTGGCAACATGTCTCTTTTACCTCCTAAATCTAAGAACAAATGCACTTATTTTAAGAAAAAATGACTTATCTAGATTTCAATTTTTTCCATTGTATAAAAACTAGATGGTTGAGTCAGTCTAGAATACCTAATTCTACTGTCGTCAAAGAGGAATCATTAATTAAAAAATGTGCATTAAAAACAAAAAAACATACTCCAGAAATGATGCGCTGCGTCTCTCTGACACGCCTCATCTCAGGCGTGTCCAGAACGAAGGCGGCCTTGCCCTGGACCTGCCTGCGGAAGCTGTCAGAGTACAACACCTGGAGGAGGGAGAACATGAGAGTGAGAGTCACACAGGTGAGTCCAGGAGAGCGTCAGGAGCAGAAGAGGGGGGAACATTTAAGAGGACGCACAAAGTAGAAGGCAGGAAGAAGATTACTGGAAAATCAGACAAATGAATTAGAAAGGAAGATTTTTTTTTTTTTTTTTATGTCTTTGATTAGGAGATGAAGAGTTAGTTATGTTCCAATCTTCAGAGGATGAACGGCAGGAAAAAAGAAAGTCTACAGGAACAAAAGAGGTTAGAGGATGTGTGGGCACACCACAGCTGCTGGGATTAAACATAATCAGAGAGCGCAGTCAGGATAATTAATGAGATTAACTGAAGCAGGGGTCGACTCAGTTAGAAAAAGGTTAACAGGAGGAAGAACATTGTGTATCTGAAGGTACCGAGCTAATGTTCTCTTGGTTCCTTTTGACCCGCTCCATCTCAGGAGTAAAGACCACAGGAGTTCCCTTGGCAGAACTGTCCTTATACAAGACCTAAAGGACAATAAGCACAGCCCCCATTATAACCACACCACCAAACATATTGACAGATTTGGACTCTTCAAGCGTGAACTAGTTAGAAAAAAATACATAAAACTGATATATTCTCAATATGTGATTGTGTTTTCTTTTTTATGTCTATACAAAGAGGCATTCAGCCAGGATCACTGCTGTAGGAATGAAAAACATGGAGGCAAACAATCCTCACAGCTCAGCAGAAGATTTAGCTTCTCATTCGCTGGAATGTTAAACATTATCAAGTAGACTGCCACAGATTGATGAAGAAAAAGCTTGGCTGCAGGTTAGAAAATATCGTATTAAAAGGCCAAAGAGGCAGGAATGATGTAGAAGATTAAAAGGTAAAGAGAATATCAGTGGAATAGAATAGAAAAACAGATGGATATTATAGCAAAATTAGGGTGGAGATGGTGGAGCTCAAGAATCTGCAGGATGAGCCTTAAATAAAGATGGATGGGATGAAGAGGGGGATAGAAGAGAGCAGGAAGGAGGAGGAGGAGGAGAGGTAGCCATGATGGAAACTACTGTCTGCACTCAAATGTTAGGAGCACACTTGGTTCGGCTTTGTTCCACTACCGAGCTGATGTGCTTCTGGGTTTCTTTGACCCGCTTCACCTCGGGCAGGTCCGGTATAGCTGTGCCTTGACCCACAGAGTCCTTGTATTTTATCTAGCAAACAAACATTCAAGGGTTTTATGCAGAGACGGTAAAAGAAGAGAAAAAGCAGATCAATAACAGACTGTGGCACAAAGGCAGACAATAACATCACAAAAAAGCAACAACAAAAGGAATAAATGGAAAAAAGGAGATGGGACATTTCTGTTCCTGAGAAAGGAGGGAGCTTTTCTGGTTAGACCAAATGAAAGCTGTTTAAATGTTAGTGTTATAGTGGATGTCAAACTCTTCATTGGATATTACAGAAATGATTGAGCTGTTTTGTTTTTCTCTTCTGGAAAAAAAATTGAAAAAACTAAATAAAAAATGTAAATTTATTGCAAATTTGTTTCTAAATCCTTCTGAGTAAAACTAAACGTATAGGTTTAAACAATATAGAAAAAATGATTCTAATTTGGTATTTGGCCATTTTAAAGTCAGAGCTCTTCTCCTGACGTTGCTTTTAAACAGAGTCCATAATGACTGAGTGGAGTTAATCATTAACTCTTGTCTACTTCATTAATTTCAGGCCACTTTAAGTGAGTGTTTGTGATAAGGTTATTATCATTAACTAAAACTAATGATGTAAACATAAGCTAGAATTCTAAAACATTTTGGATAATTATAATCAGAATCAAATTTAGACCTTGAAAACTTACTAAAACTGTAAAAGGACTTTACAAAACTAAAAAAAAGTTTAATTTTAAGAGAGATTGTGCTTAATTTAATGCATTAATATGTGTTCTAGTTTCCAGTTGCTGATTTTCACTGTACGTTATTTCGCCAGCAGATAGCGGTAACGGCATCCAGGTCAATTGAATTGCTGCAGCGGTCAGTCCTTATCTGTCATATTATTTATTTTATTTTATTTTATTATAAGTCTCGTCTGTTGACGGTATGCAAGCTGTACAACATAAAAGATTAAAACTATAAGTGGAATGAAGAAAAACTAAACCTTAAGCTTAATTTTCTTTTTTAGCTAAAAAAAAAAATACTAAAAAACAAAGTAGAACTAAACTGAAATTAAAAATCAGACGTTAATAAAAAATAAAAAATAATGAAATAGTAAAACTTTCCACTCAGAAAACATTTGCTGAGGAATTTAAAGGTAGTCCTCCATCTTTTTTTAGACCATATCATGTTGGCAGTTGTTTTGTAGTTTAGTTTAGTAGTTTGAGTCAGATTGTCTCCTTAAAGCTTTAAATGAAATATACTGTAAGTTATGACTGAAGGCAGATTATGTTTAAGGAATCAAATCAATTTAAATCAACTTGAAATTTCTACCAAGTAAACTGTATCTACAATAAATTTAAACATTTGCAATTTAGTAGAAAACAGGTGTATGATGCATAATAATTCTAATCTGGGACAATAATTTTCAGATGTATTATGAAAATATTAGTATAACTTTCATGACTTTAGTGTTTGATTTTTAACATCGAAATGACCGGCGGAGGTTCAGGAGGAGAGGAGTTACTTCAGGTTGTTTGAGGAAGAAAGGAAGTGAGGTTGGATGGAGGTAGAGGATAGGAAACTGAAAGGTCCCTGCTGGGAGGTACCGTGCTAATGTTTTGCTGATTGCGTTTGACCCGCTCCATCTCTGGGGTCTCTGGCACTGAGGTGCCCTGTCCCACTCCTTCTTTGTAACGATGCTTTGAACGAGACAACACAGAACAGTCACATACGACGGCAGCACACTCCACGGGAGATTAGTTTGCAGATCGGGAGGAGAGCAGATCTCAAAATAAGAGAGGGAATAAACAGTTCTGGTAAAAAAGGAATGGTTTATGGAAGCAAAAAAAAAAAAGTTAGGATGGAGGAGGATAAACCAGCACTAAAAAAATTAACTTCTCTTTTTATGTTTTAGAAAAGAAAGATATGATAGGATGATGAGAATGAGGAGGGTCACTGCAGTCGGTTTTCCTCTACCAGACTGATATTCTTCTGGGTTTCTCGGACCCGCTTCACCTCAGGGAGATCAGGTATGGTGGTCCCTTGACCCACAGAATCCTTGTAATGTATCTGCCCATTGCAAATGTCACAAAGGTAAACAGTAAGATAGCATCCTGTTTTATACACACCAACATGTCCATCACTTGTGGTGATTTCACTCAGAATTAATATATTAGTTTTTCATTTTTCATAAATGAATTAGGACCTAACAATCATATATTTAGTCATACGTTTCTTCATCTGTAGATGATGAAAATGTTAATTCATAGGAACAATCGATGTTACAGATGAGTCCCTACCTATATAAACTTAGTCCAAAAAGTCTACAGATAAAATAATCAGCCATGTTTACTGGTACAACGCCATTTTGAAAGCCTACTTCCTCTCTTTCTTTAGCATACATTTTCGTTAATATGTTAATTGTAATTGTTAAGCCATATTCTTGTATACATATGCATATTATTATTTGTTTCAGGTTTCCTGATGTTTCAGGGACTTTTCTCAGTCTCACAGATCCTCCATCATCGTTTCAGGTCAATATTAACTTCCTGTTTACCAAAACATGCCATCATAGAAATGTTTTTCTAAACATTTGCATTTGGTTGAATTTTAAGAGAGAATTTGCTTAGTTTAATGCATTAATATGTGGTTTAGTTTCCAGTTGCTGATTTTCACTGTACGTTATTTCGACAGCAGATAGCGGTAACAGCAGTCAGGTCAATTGAATTGCTGCAGCGGTCAGTCTTTATCTGTCATATTATTTATTTTATTTTATTATAGGTCTTGTCTGTTGTCGGTATGCAAGCTGTACAACATGAAAGATTAAAACTATAAGTGGAATGAAGAAAAACTAAACCTTAAGCTCAATTTTCTTTTTTAGCTAAAAAAAAAATACTAAAAAACAAAGTAAAACTAAACTGAAATGAAAAATCAGACATTAATAAAAAAAAATAATAATAAATAAACTATTAAATAGTAAAACTATTCAAACCTTGGGTGGTAATAATTTTCCACTCAGAAAACATAGATGTGTCTTAGTTTAAAATTTGCTGAGGAATTTGAAGGTAGTCGTCCATCTTTCTTTAGACCATAACATTACGTTATGGTCAGCATCCAACACTGTTTATCTGAACTTCTCTACTTTGCAGACAGGACTCCGATCTTTCTTTTAGTTATAGTTTTAAGCTTTAGTAGTTTCTGATCTGTTTTAAACCACCCAACCAATTTTAATTAGTCTGCAGGTGAAAGTTTAAGTGAGATTGTCTCCTTAAAAGCTTTAAATGAAATAGTTAAGTTATGACTGAAGGCAGATGATGTTTAAGGAATTAAATCAATTTAAATCAACTTAAAATTTCTACCAAGTAAACTGTATCTACAATAAATTTAAACATTTGCAATTTAGTAGAAAACAGGTGTATGATGCATAATAATTCTAATCTGGGACAATAACTTTCAGATGTATTATGAAAATATTAGTATAACACTCATGACTTTAGTGTTTGATTTTTAACATCGAAATGACCGGCGGAGGTTCAGGAGGAGAGGAGTTACTTCAGGGTGTTTGAGGAAGAAAGGAAGTGAGGTCGGATGGAGGTAGAGGATAGGAAACTGAAAGGTCCCTGCTGGGAGGTACCGTGCTAATGTTTTGCTGATTGCGTTTGACCCGCTCCATCTCTGGGGTCTCTGGCACTGAGGTGCCCTGTCCCACTCCTTCTTTGTAACGATGCTTTGAACGAGACAACACAGAACAGTCACATACGACGGCAGCACACTCCACGGGAGATTAGTTTGCAGATCGGGAGGAGAGCAGATCTCAAAATAAGAGAGGGAATAAACAGTTCTGGTAAAAAAGGAATGGTTTATGGAAGTAAAAAAACACGTTAGGATGGAGGAGGATAAACCAGCACTAAAAAATTAACTTCTCTTTTTTTGTTTTAGAAAAGAAAGATATGATAGGATGATGAGAATGAGGAGGGTCACTGCAGTCGGTTTTCCTCTACCAGACTGATATTCTTCTGGGTTTCTCGGACCCGCTTCACCTCAGGGAGATCAGGTATGGTGGTCCCTTGACCCACAGAATCCTTGTAATGTATCTGCCCATTGCAAATGTCACAAAGGTAAACAGTAAGATAGCATCCTGTTTTATACACACCAACATGTCCATCACTTGTGGTGATTTCACTCAGAATTAATATATTAGTTTTTCATTTTTCATAAATGAATTAGGACCTAACAATCATATATTTAGTCATACGTTTCTTCATCTGTAGATGATGAAAATGTTAATTCATAGGAACAATCGATGTTACAGATGAGTCCCTACCTATATAAACTTAGTCCAAAAAGTCTACAGATAAAATAATCAGCCATGTTTACTGGTACAACGCCATTTTGAAAGCCTACTTCCTCTCTTTCTTTAGCATACATTTTCGTTAATATGTTAATTGTAATTGTTAAGCCATATTCTTGTATACATATGCATATTATTATTTGTTTCAGGTTTCCTGATGTTTCAGGGACTTTTCTCAGTCTCACAGATCCTCCATCATCGTTTCAGGTCAATATTAACTTCCTGTTTACCAAAACATGCCATCATAGAAATGTTTTTCTAAACATTTGCATTTGGTTGAATTTTAAGAGAGAATTTGCTTAGTTTAATGCATTAATATGTGGTTTAGTTTCCAGTTGCTGATTTTCACTGTACGTTATTTCGACAGCAGATAGCGGTAACAGCAGTCAGGTCAATTGAATTGCTGCAGCGGTCAGTCTTTATCTGTCATATTATTTATTTTATTTTATTATAGGTCTTGTCTGTTGTCGGTATGCAAGCTGTACAACATGAAAGATTAAAACTATAAGTGGAATGAAGAAAAACTAAACCTTAAGCTCAATTTTCTTTTTTAGCTAAAAAAAAAATACTAAAAAACAAAGTAAAACTAAACTGAAATGAAAAATCAGACATTAATAAAAAAAAATAATAATAAATAAACTATTAAATAGTAAAACTATTCAAACCTTGGGTGGTAATAATTTTCCACTCAGAAAACATAGATGTGTCTTAGTTTAAAATTTGCTGAGGAATTTGAAGGTAGTCGTCCATCTTTCTTTAGACCATAACATTACGTTATGGTCAGCATCCAACACTGTTTATCTGAACTTCTCTACTTTGCAGACAGGACTCCGATCTTTCTTTTAGTTATAGTTTTAAGCTTTAGTAGTTTCTGATCTGTTTTAAACCACCCAACCAATTTTAATTAGTCTGCAGGTGAAAGTTTAAGTGAGATTGTCTCCTTAAAAGCTTTAAATGAAATAGTTAAGTTATGACTGAAGGCAGATGATGTTTAAGGAATTAAATCAATTTAAATCAACTTAAAATTTCTACCAAGTAAACTGTATCTACAATAAATTTAAACATTTGCAATTTAGTAGAAAACAGGTGTATGATGCATAATAATTCTAATCTGGGACAATAACTTTCAGATGTATTATGAAAATATTAGTATAACACTCATGACTTTAGTGTTTGATTTTTAACATCGAAATGACCGGCGGAGGTTCAGGAGGAGAGGAGTTACTTCAGGGTGTTTGAGGAAGAAAGGAAGTGAGGTCGGATGGAGGTAGAGGATAGGAAACTGAAAGGTCCCTGCTGGGAGGTACCGTGCTAATGTTTTGCTGATTGCGTTTGACCCGCTCCATCTCTGGGGTCTCTGGCACTGAGGTGCCCTGTCCCACTCCTTCTTTGTAACGATGCTTTGAACGAGACAACACAGAACAGTCACATACGACGGCAGCACACTCCACGGGAGATTAGTTTGCAGATCGGGAGGAGAGCAGATCTCAAAATAAGAGAGGGAATAAACAGTTCTGGTAAAAAAGGAATGGTTTATGGAAGTAAAAAAACACGTTAGGATGGAGGAGGATAAACCAGCACTAAAAAATTAACTTCTCTTTTTTTGTTTTAGAAAAGAAAGATATGATAGGATGATGAGAATGAGGAGGGTCACTGCAGTCGGTTTTCCTCTACCAGACTGATATTCTTCTGGGTTTCTCGGACCCGCTTCACCTCAGGGAGATCAGGTATGGTGGTCCCTTGACCCACAGAATCCTTGTAATGTATCTGCCCATTGCAAATGTCACAGAGGTAAACAGTAAGATAGCATCCTGTTTTATACACAACAACATGTCCATCACTTGTGGTGATTTCACTCAGAATTATTATATTAGTTTTTCATTTTTCCTAAATGAATTAGGACCTAACAATCATATATTTAGTCATACGTTTCTTCATCTGTAGATGATGAAAATGTTAATTTATAGGAACAATAGATGTTACAGATGAGTCCCTACCTATATAAACTTAGTCCAAAAAGTCTACAGATAAAATAATCAGCCATGTTTACTGGTACAACGCCATTTTGAAAGCCTACTTCCTCTCTTTCTTTAGCATAGATTTTCCTTAATTAGTTGATTGTAATCGTTAAGCATTATTCTTATATACATATGCATATTTTTAGATTTTTGTTTCAGGTTTCCTGATGTTTCAGGGACTTTTTTCAGTCTCACAGATCCTCAATCATCGTTTCAGGTCAATATTGACTTACTCTTTACCAAAACATGCCATCATAGAAATGTTTTTCTAAACATTTGCATTTGGTTAAAAAATAAACTTTCTTCTAATCTTTGGTAGGTTTCTAAAACCATAAATATAGTTTATGGTCCAGCCAAGAAGTCAGTGGCTCAATAAATGGCCCTATTGACCCATTAATATGTAACGCAATTATAATAGAAAGTTCAAACTATATCCGATAACAAAAGTTGTTTTATTTGGATTTTAGGTCTGGATTTTGGATGTTGAAATTTTAATACGTTTTAAAACTTCATTTTATAATCTAATTTGCTCTTTGTGACCATAATACGAAAGTTGATTTGTGAAAATGAATGTATTTATGACACGTTGCAGCTTTACCTGAGAGGTAGTGCAACTGCATATTAAAAAAAATTATACTTTAAAAAATGTTTAAATCTTTAATCTAAAATCTTTAAATTTAATGAGCAATTAGCAGATAAATAATTAAATGGTAGGTGAAGGCACTAACGTCTCAGAATAGTTCAGAGAAAAAAAAATGTGTTGCAAAAATAAAGAAAAAATGTAGCTAAATCTGTTTAAAATGTCGTCAAAGGTGCCTTCAACGTCTGACTCCTGTAAATTTGTTACGATTACGATTATTGCAGGAATACATCCCCACATCTATAGATAAACTGAAATGAAATATACGACCTTTTCGTACATTTCCAGCGGGAAATTATAGCACTGCAATAAAATATGATCTTTTATCGTTAAGTGCCAATAAATGTGGCTGGTTCTGTTAATCCTTGAGCTGTTGTGTTAAATTAAGAATTGTCAAAATAATCTCCTGCAGCTACTGTGGGATTAAGATGTTATGCTAGACTTTTGAAAGAACCAAACTTTAAATGTATTCCACTAGCCGATTAGCTTATTAGCTTCCTTTTTTAGGTTAGCAAAAAACTATAAGTTGGGAAAAAATAGAGGTTTTGTTCAAACAAGACATCAAACTGTTGATGGGAAGATATTACATGTAGAGTAAGGTCAGGTTTTATTTAAAGTTACTGGACAATAAGGGAGCATGGATGGAGAATCGAGGCTGGGGGGGATAAAATGGTCGCCCGTTGGAGTACCGTGCTAATGTTGCGCTGGTTACGCTTTACTCTCTCCATCTCAGGGGTTTCAGGCAAAGCTGTCCCTCCTCCCAAATCTTCTTTGTAATGAATCTTTGTGTGGATGAAGCACGAAAGCACGAACAAAAAGTTAGCCTGGTCCTTCTGCTCACACTCATGCTTAGATGAGCAGCACCATTAGAGCACAAAGAATCAGCAACAAGGAGAGCAAATGAAAAGCAAACAACAAAGATCACAACTCTAAACACACAAGTTCACCTACAGCTGTAAACATTAGTCCACCAAACTAAATCTAAAGGGTTAGTTCTCATTAAAAGGCTGTATGTAACAATGAACTTAATTTAAAGAGATGTAAGGTTGATGCCAGAGTTTGTTAAAATGAAGAAAGACAAACTCAAAAAACGGTTAAAGATGAAAAAATGAAAATAAAAACTATTGTAGAATATATACCAAGCTGAAATTCTTTGTGTTTTCTTTAACACGGAGCATTTCTGGAGTGTCCTTAACAGTAGACACTTTGCCTTTTGTGTTTTTTAGGTCAATCTGGTATTGGAGCTATAAGAAGAAGGGAAAAATGGTTTGGTTAAAGTGTCTAAAGAAGGGAAAAAGAAGGGAAACCAGTGCAAAATACATTCTCTATTATCTGCCCTTTCAGCGCTGATTAAAGCATAACTTATAAATAACACAAACACAAGTGAACAATTCAAAAGAGTTTAATATTTCCATATCTTAATGCAGAAGGCAGAGACTATATGAATATAAAACAAAGAAAATAGCTTTTCCAACTTACAGTGCTGAAGTTCCTCTGGTTCTCACGGACTCTCTGCATCTCCGGGGTATCCAGAACCGGCACATAGTGGGACATCGTCTTCTCAGCTTCCTCTTTGTACTTTTTCTGTTTTAAACAATGAAGAAAAAAAGCACATTTAAAGGTCAAGCTGGTGATTTGGGTTTAAACACTGCACTCACAGAAGACAAAGTGTTTCCGGTCGTTTTCAGAGAGGGAATTTATTGTTCATTTCAAACCTGGCTGACGATGTTCCTCATCTGCTGAGCGTGGATGATGTCAGGGGTGTCGATGACGGTGGTGTAGCTGGCTCTGTCCATCTCAGCGGTCTGTTTGTATTTAGTCTAAAGAGGAGAAACCATCACTGAGGACTTCCTCATGTAGCTATGAAACAGTATAATCCAGCACACACATTATAGATTAAAGTTTTTTGCAAACGTGCTAAAGTTTACTGAACTGTTGCATAAGTTTTTGCAGCAGATTCTGGTTTGTATTTAAGTCTAGAGCAGGGGTCTGCAACATTTCAAGTTCATAGAGCCAGTTTGCCCTGAGTCTGGCTAAATAAAAGTCACTTAGAGCCACATTAAATTACTTTTAATAAAACACAATCGCTTATAGGGGTGATCAGTGAGGCAGCTGCCTTGCAGCAAGAAGGTTCTGGGTTCAATTCCCGGCCCGGGGTCTTTCTGCATGGAGTTTGCATGTCTCCCTCAGCATACGTGGGTTCTCTCTGGGTACTCCAGCTTCCTCCCACAGTCCAAAAACATGACTGTTATGTTAACTCTAAATTCTCCTCAGGTGTGTGTGAATTGTTTTTGTCTCTGTGTTGCCCTGTGATGGACTGGCAACCTGTCCAGGTTGTTCTGCGCCTCATAGGAATAGGCACCAGCACCCCTTACAACTCCAGCAGGGATAAAGCGTGACAAAAATAGATGAAACTGATTATTTTCATTGACATCTGCCAAAGGAGATCTGTTCCCATCTTAAACAACCAACAGTTTATTGGTATTTTTAGCTAAATAATAAGGAACAATAAGAAACAACATAAAACAATAAAAAAAGATTAAACATTTATTTTCTTCTACAGGCTATTATTTAATATATAAAGAAAATAAAATCGAAAGACAAAACATACAGTTTTGCCAACATTTTACAATGTATGTTGCGTTGCATTAAAATCCTGATAATATAACCTGAATTTTAGGAAGATTTTATTAAAACGGACCTGACTGAGGATTTCAGTTGCATTCCTGGCTCTCATAAAGTCCGGCGTGTCTGTAGCCAAAGCCAACATTCCTTTACCCTTGATCTCCTGCTCCAATGACTTCTTATACTCCCTCTGCAAACAGGAAGAAAAAAAAATCCAAAATAACAACTACATCATTTACTAAACCAAATAGATACAAACGACAGACATTTCTACTGTTTCATACTGAGGAGGGCTGCAAAACACCTAGGGGGACAGGGACCAGAATAGGTTAGCAGGAGTTAGGGAAGATTTAGGGAAAACAATAGATTTAAGACCACAGGAGCTCCACTTAAAACTGAAAAAATAAATAGGAAATGGAAGTCAAGAGTTAAAACAGCATATAAAAACATAATTAGTCCTTTTTAACTTGAGATTATTTTTTTAATCAATTACAACCCAATGAATTTCAAAAATTGAGAGTTTATTTAGATTAAAAATAAAGGAAAAGGCATGTTTTAAGCACGTTTCAAGTGTGTCAGCTTTAAGAAAAATAAAGAAGTATAAAAAAATAAAGGGGGACACGAGGGAAATTTCAAAAGAAAGTATTTTTCTAAACTACGGAGCGATTAAAAAGTAGTGATGTTAAAAAGCAGGAAGCTCGACACAGAATCAAACCCATGTAGTGCAGCGACAGTTTAGTTTAGAGGGGGAGGGGGTTCACCATGAGTGGGGTTAGGTGCGGGGGGGGGGGGGTCAATCAATCAGATAAGAGCGTGATGCCACCTCCATCACCTCCCGGTTAGCCGTACCTCACACAGGATTTGAGTGGCATTCTTTGCCCTCAAAAGCTCCGGAGTTTCCTCCAGTACAGTTAGCCCTTTACCCTTCACTCCCTCCTCTAGATCCTTCCTGTACTCTTTCTACACAACGGAAGAAAGACAAGAGAGACTGCAGAGATGGGCACACAGGCAGGCAAGGCCAAGGCATACAGACAATTAAGGCTCAAAGTCACCAAAATCTCAACAAAAAATAAAATAACGGCAGCTGCTCTCATATTAATACAACTAAAAATATTTACACAGGGAGAAAGTGGAGATATTGCTGACTTTGGCAAACAGATATGGTAAAACAAGTTTTACATAAAATGAAACATGGAAAGTAGCTTCAAAACAAGAAACTGAAAACTTTTCTTCATTTAAACTGTTGCATGCAGTTCTAAAGAACGTTGCTGTATAAATTCAAGGGGTTGATGGATGGAAACGAGGAGTTTTAAGATGTCAGTGGATGCAGAGCAACTCAGACTACTTCTCTGCAAAAGCATGCAGTGTGGGAAATAGTTGTGTGGTCGCTTAGGCAAGCAGGGCAGTGAAACAGCTTAAAAGCAAAAAAAGCAAGCTTATAGACGGAGAAGTAGGAGGATAAAAGATGTGTAAACAAAGGAGGGGGCGGGGCTTTGGCTGTGGTATAATCTTAGTATGATGAGGTAAAAAAGGGGGAGGTTAACGGGATAAACCAGCCTTCAGTTACCTCACTGGCTATTTTGGTGGCGTGTCTGACATGAATCATGGCAGGAGTGACCTCCAAGCCTGAGAGGTTCTTCCCCCTCATGGACTCCTCAAAGTCCTTCTTATAGTCTTTCTATTGGCCACAAAGATAAGACAGACAGAGCTCAGACAATCACATGCAAGCAGAGTGGAGCTGTGCAGCTACAGCATCACTGTTTGCTAAGTACGACCTACTATAGATCAGCCATTCTGCAGTCTGTGACATAAAAGCATTGGAGCCAGTTGGTTTACATTTGGGAACTTTTTTAGGTTTAACAGCAGTCAAACCGTTTTGTATTGTTGCTCACCAGCGTTTGCAATTATTCCACTGATATTTTGAAGTTATAGTGGAGGATTTGATCTAACTTTTTGAAAAGACACGTCTTCTCCAGTTGAAAAAAATAAACTTCTCATGCACAATTCTATCCCGAGAGAGAGCGTGCGCAATCCCATTTCTCTTCGTGCATGCTCAGTTTAAAAGTTGCTGTTTTCATTGCTCATACAAGCTTACTTTCCAAAAGATGATTTGCAATTTTTCCACTATGTCAGATTTCTAAATTTCTAAACTTAGAACAATTGTGTCCAGAGGTGATCTTGAAATGATTATCCATGCCTTTGCGTCTTCCCGTTTAAACTACTGTAACAGTCTTTCTCATGTCTACACAAAAAGGAGTTGTCTCGTCTTCAGTAGGTTCAGAACTCTGCGGCGAGGTTACTGACTCATACAAACAGAAGGGGCTCATATAACGCAGATTCTAAAAGCTCTTCATCGGCTCCCAGTTTCTTTTCGGTTCCAGTTTAAAATCCTGGTGCTGACCTTCAGGGCCTTTCACAGTCAGGCTCCCTCCTACATTAGAGACTTGTTGTGTCCATATACCCCCTCTCGGAGCAATCTGGAACGATTTCTGTAACGTTTTCCTTGCACTTACTTGATTAGTTGATTTAAGCGTGAACTGAAAACATATTTGTTTAAGAAAGCATTTTTATTCCAGTAGATTAAGTGTTGTTTTATGACCATGTCTTTTGTGACTGTAAATGTATTTTATTTGTATTTTAATTTTGTGAAGCTCTTTGTGACCTCTATGTCTGTGAAAGGTGCTATATAAATAAACATCACTTACCTACTTACAATTAGTAGGACCACTTATTTTGATGATCCAACCCGAAAAAGAACATCCTCCACTATACCTTTAAGAATATCTAATGTTGATCTCTCAGTCTTTAGAGGGTGGAAACTTTCATGACATCACTCTAATCTTTAACACATCCACCGATTTAAATTAAAAAATTTGTGAAAAACTTTTGACTCAGCTGTCAGTCTAAGGATCCTTATCCTCGTGAATTCACCAAACAACTCAGCTGAATAACTTTATTATATAACCTATATCAGTGGATGGTGTAACAAGAATGTGTGGGTTTTCAAATGAAAAGATCAAGGAGCAAAGATATTTTAAATGTGAAGATCCCATGACCAGCCCTTGCAATCCTGTTTTAACACAAATAAACACCTAAATCCTAAACAACAACAAAAAAACACTTTAAATGACTAAAGCTGACAATAAAAGAAATGTCATGACTTTAGAAAACCCTGGGTGTTCCTATATTAACCAAAAACATAAAATTAGCAGCTAATCTGCACAGAGGCAGCAAAATAATCTGAGATTTGGCCTCAGACTTTGTTCAGCCTTCAGAAGTGATGTGATGCGGAGACGTCATGAAATGAGCAGAACCCAGACGGGGAGAGGCACCTTTGCTTTGAAGGGAAGTCCTTCCTTCAAGTCTGGAAGAAAACTACTAATATTTCTCTTATATTATTTCCTCTTACGTTTGCCTATAGGGGACTTTAAAAAGGTTTTAAGAACATGATATAGAAAGTTTAAATCTGTTTTTCTTTTCATCACATTTGTTTAGTAAAATTAATTAAAGTATACATGTTTGAAAATACTGATTTAACTTTGTCAGGCTATTAGGGAAATTCATCTGTGGCTCTATTTTAACCAATATCAGAATAAAAGTTGGTTTAAGCAGCTTGTCCTTGATTCTTCTGATTTAAATTCTCTGCCCTGTAGAAGTGTTGCACATCAAAGCAATTACCGGTACCAAGTATTTTACGAACATATGTCTTCATTGTTCACTGATTTATACATAACTTTGTTACTAAAGATCACAAGTTTTGTTTTGCAGGATAATTACTAATAATACAACTGGAAATTTATCAAATTCTTTACTGTTTACTATATTGCATCATAATTATTGAGTAAATTCTATTCCATTATTGTTTCTGGCAAAGAAGACATTTTGCAAATGGAAAAAAACTTTAAAAATGTTTTTATAAAAAATCGGTTTTCTTTGACTTGTAGTTTTCTTAAGATTTTGTTTTTCCAAAAAAATTTACTTTTAAAATGTATTTTTACAGATTTTTGATTTTTTTTTTTTAATTCACAAAAGTTTTTTTTACATATTTAAATTTTTTTTTTTTGAGTTTGAGTTTTGCATATTTGTTAAAGAAATACGTTCTTCATCAAATTAGTGTTTCACAGATCGAATTCTCTTCGTTTTAAGTCCAATAAAAACACTCCTGATGCGCACACTGACCAATGCAACGTTGCTGCTAACAACCATGCGACCAATAGAAATGTCCCTTCCATCCTCATCCAGAGGAAAGCCCGCCCCCAGAAGTGAAACACAAATGGTCTCTGAAATGCAATTTCAAAAACATGAAATTTTCGCCAATCGATCTGAGAAAGAGAAATAATAAAGAACGATAAAGAACCTGTAAAAAATTTGTACTTCTGTTAAACTAAATAGAAAAATTATGTTAAAAAATAATATGAAATCTAGAAATCTATATATAAATGAAATCTAAAAAAATATATATCATATGAAAAAGCAAAAGTTACTCTTTCAATCCAATAGGATTAAGATGGTTTCTTTTTTTTACATTCTTTATTTCAGAATATGATAAATTCAAAATTTCTACATATATTCATATGCATCTTTATGCAACTACAAACAATATCAAACCCAAGAAGGAAAAAATATATAAATATAAACTAAAAGCTAAAATAAATAGCAAAATAAAAATAAGAAGTGGTGGGGCTCAGCAGGCTTTCAGATCTGTTTCGGCAATTGACAGTTCTTAAAAGGGTCTTCGTGGGCTCACATAGAAGGGAGGTGTACCTTTCTACTAGTGTTGCAGCAATACGAGTATCGGGGGTGTTATACTTCATATGGGGCCCACCCAAATAATGTTGCTTTACTATTGTGTCGTTACGCCATTGGGGAGAGATACATAAAATGTGGGCTGACAAAGTTTTTTAAAATTTTTTTCAGCATATGTCGTTCTTTATCCGTGTGGAAATCCAAATTAGGTGATAGGCAGGGCCCACACTCCTAGAATATGTATTTCCCATGCAGTTTTACTGTTATCTTCTCCATTATATACACATCCTTCAACCTTTCTTGCCATTGTGGGGTGGGGTAGCAACGGCTTAAGCCAAGACAGAGTTATAACTATCCTTGCTACTAATAGCAGAATGTGTAGTAACTGGGCTTTTCTTTTCCAAATATTTTTCTTTAGGGGTCAAACCTAATATATAGTATAGCGGGTTCAGTGGTAACGTAAACTCGAGTTTTCTTTTAATTTCTGTCTGGATCGATTAGAATGTTTTTCAAAGTTTCTGTATTGCATTTTTTTAAGCTTCCATTTATAAATTGTGTTCCTTGCTTGCAACAATAATGGAACATAATGTACCCCAACCCTTCCATACATAGTTAAGTTGGGAGCTTGATTAATTAAGAACAGTTGCTTGATAAATGGTACCATTTTCCCAGGTGTCTGGAAGCTCATTAAACAACATTTAGAAAGGTAAACCATGTGGGGGTTATCTACATTCTTTAAAATTTCTTTCAGATTCATAACTACAACCATCCGTAAAGCTCAAGTGACGAACAGGAGCGCTACATTTCTAATCTAATGTGTTTTGAAGCCAAGCTGGCATCTGCAGCTACTTTTAGCACAAAGGTGAGAGGAGTTGATACCTGGCTCTGCATGTGCTGCGCCTCCTTAGCCGTCACATAAGTCGGGGTCTCAAAGTCCAGCATGGGTTTGCCCTTCTCCTTCTCATATTTCTCCCTGTATTTAACCTGTAAGGGCCAAACGTACACAAAGTTAAATAGGAAATAGTGAAATGTGGCCATTTAAATGCAGGTCCATTGTTTCCATAGAAAGACAAATATGCAAAGCTTGTTAGTAACATATTTAAACCTGCATACACATCTCTCATTTTCAAATCAGTGTAGGAGATAGAGATGTCCCAATCCAATCTAGGGTTTATACTTGTGTCCAAATCGAGACTTTTTTTCTTTCAACACAAGTCTTTCAGTCCATAGCTGAGAGATGTGCAGAGAGCAGCTGAGACACTCGTCATTACATTCTACAAGGATCAAAGAAAGCACTGTTTCTGTAAAGCAGGAAAGTGTTACTTTCCTCTAGAATTTCTCTGTGCACAATTAATAATAAATCAAAATTAATCCCTTTGAAGCTTAATAATTGAGTCATACATGTAATTGTGCAGAAACAGTGCTAAATTCAGCGTATGAACACTGTCAGCAGGAGCTTAATGTGAGATTGTTTGGGTCTGTAGCTGCATGTTTAGAACCAGATAGTTCTTTAATATTTCTACTCCAAAGTGACCAGGATCCTCAGTATTAGACAATAAATGCTTATCGAGACATCCCTCAGTGTCGGCTGATGATTGAAACAAGTTAAACAAACATTTCAAAGTTTGCAAAGTGTTTGTTGTTCCTGACAGTTTGCAGCACTTACGTTGCTCTGAAGTTCAGAGGCCTCCTTGAGATGAAGCTGCTCTGGTGTGTCAGGAATCATGTGGTAGTGACCCTTACTCTCCTCAAATTTCCTCTTGTAGCGGTACTACAGGGAATTCTCAGTAAAGTAAGAAGCTTAATACAGCAAAGGAGAAATGTCTGACTGGACCCTTCTGCATTAAGCATGAAGTTGCTCGTACTGCACCTTGCTGCAGTATTCACGTCCCTTAAACTTGATCACATTTTGTCACGTTAAAAGCAAAAACTTTAGGCTATTGAACTGGGATAATATGTGATATACTAAAACAAATTTGTTCAGAATTGGGATATGAAAGAAAAATGATGCATGATTAGGATAAGGGAACATATATTTCCAAATTGTACCATAGATTTAAGCAAAAACCGTGCTTATGTTTAAAGTCGTTAAAATTACACTTAAACAAGGCCAAGTCACTGAGTTTTAACGAGTGTGATGGCCACCAACAGGTTTTTTTTTTTTTTTTTTTGAACATTTCTTTTTTTTGTGATTTTTAATACTAGCCAGAGGGGGTATGACAGTAAAGTAACAAGGAATACAAAGGTCACCAGGCCAGGACTTAAAGCTGTGACGCCCATTGAATCCTAGGCCCCGGTAAATTGGTCCCACACTTAACCTTGCACCACTGCTGTGCCCTGAAGCTGTTTTTGAGCACATTTACATCATTATTTGCACAGAGACTTGAGAAACAAGGACATTTTTTTCATCCCCCAGGACAATACCCTGTTGGACGGTGAATCTCTAATATTTAGCCTCAAGTCTTTTGTGACTGCAGAACAGTATCCCCACAGCATGATGCAGCCACCATCACAGCAACTTTGTGTTCAGGGTGATCTGCAGAGATAGTTCTGCACACAGAGATTTCTGCATGTGTATAAAATGCTAAATGTACAGTCAGCATCTCTTCAAGATGTTCACATTATTGTTAACTTTAAAAAGGGACTACTTATGGCTTTGACCTGTTGCAATGTTGACAGCTTCTCCTTCCTGTGAATCTGTGTAGCTACTCCAGTGTTACCAAAGGCTTTTTAGCAGCTTGTCTTCCCTTACTAACCATTGTGCAGGATTTTATTATTATTTTTATTTTTTTCAAATTAAAGGAAACAGAATACATAAGCACGACAAAGTCGTCGGAATTTTATTATTAAAACCTTTTCAAAAACACCACTCGTTTCCTTATCTAAATCACTGTTTAGATCGTTTAGATTAACTGTCACATAAAACCCTCCTGGAGCAGTGACAAAATGTGAAAAAGTGCAAAGGAAAATCAACACCATTAGAAAGCACTTCAAACACTAAGGCAGAAGGAAACACTAACAGTATAAGTAAATGAAAAGATGTAGTTATCATTCAGAGGATAAATGATCCAAACAAGTTGAAGTTGTCGTTATGTGATCTTTAATAAAACCATAATTTTGACCAACGGTAGTAAAAGTAAAGCGTTAGATGTTAAAGGTGAGGAGGGTGAGGATCACTACCAGATGAGGTCTACAGATTATGATTGTTTAGATGATGGAGCCTAGAGTTTAAATCTAAGGTGAAATGTTTACTACAAGCATGTAGGGAAGTTGATGTTACCCTGGATCACATTGAGTTCAATAGATGGGAGGGGGGGGTGAGGAAAGGGTTTTAAAAAATGCAGAGGATGATGGTGATATCTTACGTCACTTGAGAGTTTGCTGGCGCTCAGATTGTGCTGCATGGACAGAGACTCGGCCATGTCGGTGACAGGTTTGTGGATCTTCTTCAGGTCACCCTTGTACTTCACCTGTGAAGAAGTCAGCACATGATCTCCATCAGGTAATGGAAAGTTATTTAGTTTATGAAGGCTTCCAACAGTAATCAAACCATGTCATCATCCTGCAAAACATTACTTTATGCCTATAAAAAGAAAATTACACCAAAAAGAAAAAAAACATTGTTAGACCCAACCTAACTTGGAGGTCTTCACGGCGATTGTAATAACAAACCTTCAAATACAAGCAGCCACTCAAAGGTGCCTGTAATTCCTACATGCCTGGTTAGAGAGGAAATCTTTGGCGCGATGTTTTCTCTGTGATTACCTACCTCACTCGCCAGATCGTTGGCATCCTTCATGGTTTTGTAAATCTTGCTCTCCTTCGGGTCAAACTGAGGTTTCTTTCCTTTCATCTCCTTATCAAATTTCTCCTTGTACTTCACCTGGTTAAGTCAGAATGAGTACTGAGTTAGGACAGATAAGCTAATCAATATGCCATAAATGACAAAAAGACAGGGTATACAAGTGTATATAAAAGTATTAGTAACTCAGTATTTATAGTTTGTTGGCCTTTGACATGCTGTATAACAGCTGGTAACTGGGTATAGCATCACATTTATGGCGTCTATGTAAAAATGTGTGAAGAAAAACATTAATTCATCTTTTTAATTGCAGTAGCATAACATCAACCTTTAACAATCCAACCTTTAATTTGTGTACAATTAACTGTGAGGAGGAAAACCCTTTTTAAATCGCTGCTTTTCCCTTATCAGAACTATCCTCAGAAAACCTCCTTCAGCTAATCTGGAGAAACTCAAAACCTTTTTAGGACAAATTAAGACACTCCACGGTTTCCTGGGTCGTCCCCTGGGCTCCCCCCAGTGGAAAGTGTCTGGTGACAGGCGTACAGGAGGCATCTAGAAAAGATGCCATCTTCCTGTAGGTGTGGAGAAGCAGTGGCTCTACTCTGGGACTATTGGAGTAAGCTCATTTCAGGGGCTTGCAAATGAGATCTCGGTTTATTTTGTTTTAGGTTTTTTTTTTCGATCATGATGACCAATATTTGCTGACTATTGCAAAAATAAATATATGAAAGCTAAGTATGTCAAGTTTTCCTGAAATAAGTATATTTTTTCTTGTTTTGAGAAGGTAAGTAGGACAGTTTACATACGGAATAAGATTGTTTATGCGTAAAATAAAAAAGTAAAGAAAACTTCAGTATCAGATTATCTTGTTTTAAGGCCAAAAACACTTAAATTGTGGATTTTCTTATTTATCTGCTCAAATTAAAGGCAAATAGACATATTTTACTTATTTTTAGGCCAGTTTTTGGAGCGCATAGGGTAATATAGGAATGTAGACGGACTGGTAAATCAACAGTCCTCAAGTCCTCAGGATAAAGTACTTCACATTAAGAACCATGCCCTCAGCTTGTAGTTTGTCCTCATCTCCTGTCGCTTTAAACTGTCCCAACACATGCAATGGATTATGACCAGAGGGAGCAAGAGGAAGAATTCCATCTGCAAAAAAATATATAAAATCTGCTGTTTCCTCAGCTGCAGGCAGCCCTTATAAAACCCAGCAGACTTCTGCAGTCCAGGACAGCTGCCCATATAATCATTCTTAATAATATTACTGGTTGTGGAATTGTTGGTACCCTTTGATAAATACCCTAAATCATATTCTTACTTTTTGAAAATCTTAGGAAGCAATTTATAACCCACTCTAGAAAGACAATGCTGATCCAAATTAAATTAACTGCTTTGATTGGTAAAAACAGAATCAAGTTGACCCAACTTAATTCATTAAGTTTATTGATTCCACTTATTATTACCAATCGAAGAGATTAATTTAAGCTGAAGCTTAACTTACTTTTTAGAGTGCTTATTTCAGAGTAATTCCTGAAGAATTTTTTTTTTCTGTATTCACAAATATAAAGATGTAGTTTAGTCTGGATCCCTCTTGAATTTTAAATAGGACAATGTGCTTTGATCTGTCCAGAGTAATTTCAGTTTTTCCGCAACAAGCACGACAGAATGTCATGATCTTGGCACTGATGACTGGCTTAAATGGTAATTTCATTCACCTGTCCAATTCTGCCCGGTTTCCTATTACCTTTCCTGTATTAAATCTGCTGAGTCCCAGCCATCAGCACCAGATTATTCTTGTTCTCTCTATCCAGTGATGAGTGTTTTAAGAGTACCTTGGTGTTTCTGATTTCTTGATCCCAACCTGTTCTGCCTCTCAACCACTGAGCCTGCCTGTTCCTGTCTGATCTCAGTGGTGAGAGTGTTTTTAGCTAACTTGAGTATTTCTGATTACCTGATCCTGACCTTTTCTGCCTCTCAACCGCTTAGCCTGCTTGTTCCTGGCTGAACGGTTTGCCTGAACTGTCCTTGGACTCCTTGATCTCTGAGCCTGCCTGTTCCCGTGTTCGTGTTCTGATCTGTTTGCCTGGCATGGCTTGGGACTCCTGCAGCATCTGGGACACTCTGGGCAGTGCATGCCGCGTCTTATTGGTAGCTCACTGACTGGATCCTACCTCGTTCTCTGGGCACAGACTGAAATTGTAAACCAGGTTAGTGACTTACGTTCATAATCTTAATCCGTTAGATTTACGGAATTTACACAGAATGCTTTTGTGAGAAAGCCTCTGCTGCCTGCTGTTTTGTAGGCGAAGTATCTGAAATGTTTGGAATTGTTTCTTTGATGACTGCTTGAACTGTTTACCATACATGAAAATTTTGATGACCTATTTAATACAATTTTGTAAAATCTGACGAGATTTTGCAAAACCGAATGATAAAAAAATAAACTTGAAATCCCAGTTTTTGCTCCGGTGTTTTGAAAGAGGCCAAGTGCTGCAGTTTTGGTATTAACAGTACAAGTGTCAACAATTCTACCCTCTGTGATTTTAAAAACAAATAGATTTCAACATGATTTTTCTTCTCACAGATTAAATGTACACAAATTGTACTCAAATAAAAAAAAAAACCTTTTCAGTGTTGGATTATGCTCCTGCAACAAAAGATGAATTTTACTTTTGATAATTTTTTAGGTATTGTTAATAAATGTTCCCAGCTCTATACTGTATATGTTCCTATATATGCATGCAAACTATTTTCATAGACAATGTATGCAACCGATATGCTGAGAAATAACATCTACACTTGTAAAAAAAAAAAAAATCTTGTTGATTCTTTTTTTTTTTTTTTTTACAAAAAACAAACTACTGGTATATATTTTCCACGTCTTTTTCATTGCCTTTACCTTTTATCTAACCAACTGATTAATTTTACAACATAAACTTTATTTAATAATAATCAGAATTATAAAAATGAAGATTAAATTAGGGAACACCACCATTTTTACTAATCCACCAAACTAGTTATGCACAAAGAATGTGCAAATAGATGTAAATACAATAACTGTATTAGAAATGTATTAGTAGCATCTCTATCATTGTAAATCTGTTGAACTTTAATAGGCTTTATCAACCTCTAGTTTAGAAATTATGGGCACAGAAAAGTTTTCTGTGAAATTGCAAACCTTAAAGAAAAACCCACTTGTGAAAGTTTGTTGATCTTATTATATGTTTCAGAGTGAATAATCAGAAACACAACCTAAAACCATCATAATACAAACAAATATTGTGTAAATCCATATGCAGCTAATTCTAGGGTGCATTTTCTATGCTTAACAATGAGCCAAAACTTGTTCAGCACAGAAAAAAAAAAAGAAAAACAAGAAATGCACTGCAAACAAAAAGCAAGACAAACTAGAGCTTAAAGATTTTTAAAGACTGGATAAAAAACATATTTTAATCCTATTAGCTTAAAATATTTGATTACCCTAATTAGTAACTAAAATGGACTTTAAGATCAAACTAAGGGTTGAAAGGGAGTGAAGTTGTAGACAAAGGAGACAAACATGTAGCAGCACGCCTTCAGTTTTAGGACATGCGCCTCCTTACATCACTAGTCACCGAACTCATTTTCTTAATGTGCCGCATCATAGGGGTATCATAGGAAGCTGCTCCATGGAGGGAGGCCTTGCCCTCCACCTACAAAGCCCAGCAAGATTGTGGAATGAGAATACAAACACATTATGGTAACAGGGATGAGAGGAGAGAGATTAGGTACAGCAGCAAAGAAAAGAGGAACAGAGAAAGAAAGAGAGACACATGGTCAGGTTTAAGGATGGGGACAGACTTATACAATGATATGAGCAGTTAGACATGAATATACACTATATTGCCAAAAGTATTTGCTCACCCATCCAAATTATTGGAATCAGGTGTTCCAATCACTTCCATGGCCACAGGTGTATAAATTCAAGCACCTAGGCATGCAGACTGTTTTTACAAACATTTGTGAAAGAATGGGTCGCTCTCAGGAGCTCAGTGAATTCCAGCGTGGAACTGTGATAGGATGCCACCTGTGCAACAAATCCAGTCGTGAAATTTCCTCGCTCCTAAATATTCCACAGTCAACTGTCAGCTGTATTATAAGAAAATGGAAGTGTTTGGGAACGACAGCAACTCAGCCACGAAGTGGTAGGCCACGTAAACTGACGGAGCGGGGTCAGCGGATGCTGACGCGCATAGTGCGAAGAGGTCGCCAACTTTCTGCAGAGTCAATCACTACAGACCTCCAAACTTCATGTGGCCTTCAGATTAGCTCAAGAACAGTGCGCAGAGAGCTTCATGGAATGGGTTTCCATGGTCGAGCAGCTGCATCCAAGCCACACATCACCAAGTGCAATGCAAAGCGTCGGATGCGGTGGTGTAAAGCACGCCGCCACTGGACTCTAGAGCAGTGGAGACGCGTTCTCTGGAGTGACGAATCGCGCTTCTCCATCTGGCAATCTGATGGACGGGTCTGGGTTTGGCGGTTGCCAGGAGAACGGTACTTGTCTGACTGCATTGTGCCAAGTGTAAAGTTTGGTGGAGGGGGGATTATGGTGTGAGGTTGTTTTTCAGGAGCTGGGCTTGGCCCCTTAGTTCCAGTGAAAGGAACTCTGAATGCTTCAGCATACCAAGACATTTTGGACAATTCCATGCTCCCAACTTTGTGGGAACAGTTTGGAGCTGGCCCCTTCCTCTTCCAACATGACTGTGCACCAGTGCACAAAGCAAGGTCCATAAAGACATGGATGACAGAGTCTGGTGTGGATGAACTTGACTGGCCTGCACAGAGTCCTGACCTCAACCCGATAGAACACCTTTGGGATGAATTAGAGCGGAGACTGAGAGCCAGGCCTTCTCGTCCAACATCAGTGTGCGACCTCACAAATGCGCTTCTGGAAGAATGGTCAAAAATTCCCATAAACACACTCCTAAACCTTGTGGACAGCCTTCCCAGAAGAGTTGAAGCTGTTCTAGCTGCAAAGGGTGGACCGACGTCATATTGAACCCTATGGATTAGGAACGGGATGTCACTTAAGCTCATATGTGAGTCAAGGCAGGTGAGCAAATACTTTTGGCAATATAGTGTATATATATATTATGAGATCACAGTGAGAGATTAAAACATGGATTTTAATACAGGATGACAGGGGAAGCATTATCTAAGAGCTGCTAGCTCAGTTTAAAGCCAGGAGGAGGCTGCCAAGCATCACATCTACGCAGGAAGTTTAACTTGCGGAAGGGGGACTGAAGCAAGGAAAGAGGGTTTTAATTATTTGGAGGCCACTTCCTGGTCTGATCGATGAAAAAGTGGGAGCAAAAAAGTGATTTTTCTAAACCACCACAGAGAAAGAGATGTGTTTTTATCGTGAGATGTACTGAGGTAAAAAGATTAATTTCATGTGTGCTACCTGACTGGTCAGCTGGGACACGTGGGTTGCCAAAGCAATGTCTGGACGGTTGATTAGAGAACCTCCACGGCTGGCCTCCTCACGAGCTTTTTCACGGTAGCCGATCTGTTCACAGAGAGAGAAGCATAATGTAAGGGAACAGTCTTATATTAAGGAAAAGCAGGTGGTGAAGTTTTACCGACTGAGCAGTCAGGAATGGAGATGATGAAAATGAATATTTGTCATATTTCTATCGTGGTCATTCTTGGGAACTTTACTTTTAAAAAGTAACTAGTTATAGTAACTGGATGCTTCTTCAAAACAAATAACTCAGCTAGTAACTTGGTTACTGTTCAAAGTAACTTTTTATGATCTAAAATGTCCAAGAATTTGAATAACTTTCTTGTTTTTGGAACTTCAAATACAAATAGAGGTTAAATTATAGAATATAATGTGTTTGTTATTAATTAATGAATTAAATGATTAATTCAAAGGACTACTTGTAAGTAAGCTGCAATATCATCCTGCGGATATGATTATGATTCTTGTTTTTAATAGAAGAACAATACGATGTTTTAGCAATTATCTTTTTTAAAACATTGGCAGTATTCAATTGGCTATAAAATAGGTATAAAGCTGAATAGTAATGCTTTTCAAGCAACTTAACAGAAAAAAAAATGTTATTTGCAATATAATTAAACAGGGGTTACACTTCCAGGAACAAAAAACCCTAGCAGGACTGTATCCCAGGATATTTGCATGAAAAAATGTAAAACATGTTGTGAAAATCATTATAGCATCGAGAAAGTAAAGAACATGTGTTGCTTAAGGGCAGCAGCTGTCAGTGTTAAGATGATGTGAGGGACTTTTTTAAAGTAAAGTCAAGTTTCTGCAATGAGCAAATCACATAAATATTTAGCTTCAGTAATCTCTGTCATTTAATCAGAGCGCCATCTTCTCTCCTCTGTTTTTTTGAGGCATGCTTAACTCTGCCTACATTACATCTCCCCAGCCAATGGGCATGATGTATGCCTATTGATGATGTTGCACACAATTCTTTCTGCAGCAAGATAATCAGGGCTCCTCTTCCCTCCTTTAAAGACATTTCATCCCAGAGCTATGTGTCCCGAGACCGTAACATCATCAGTGATCATGGACTGTTCTCCCTGCTGCCCTCTGGGAAGAGACTTTGCAGCATTCGATGCAGGACCAGCAGGTTCTGTAACAGCTTTTTCCCCGCTGCCTTCAGAATGTTGAACTGTTAAACTCTAATCGAGACTCTGCATCTTACTTGCAACATTATTCTGCACCATCAACATACTGAACTTTTATAAATTATTTTAAATAAAACACAATTTAATGTTCTACTGCATTTTGCAGCATATTTATTTGGCACTGCACTGAATCGTTCCATATTAATGCCCTTTGGCACAATTATTTTTATGATTATAATTTTTCCACTGGTTTTCCTTTTCTCCTATATTGTTTACATGATGATCGATGCTGCACTTTCAATGGTAATGTTCATTTCACACTCGGTTCATACAAAATGACAATAACGTTTGTAAAGTTTATGCATGTTTCTACACACATTCTTTTTTAGATCAGGGCTTTAGTCTAAAAATGCAGGTTTTATTTATGCCTTTGACACTCACGTCACTGATTAGCTTCGCAGCCTGGGTGGCCTTCTGGATGTCAGGACGGTCAGCCACAGTGGTGTAGTGCAGGTTGGCTTTGGCATCCTTTTTGTACGCAATCTAAGATATGTAGGGGAAGACAGAGTAAGCATATAGTGAACATTTAGAAACAGCTCAAAAGACAAATATTGAAAACAAATCAGTGAAATGTATGTAGGAATAAGTCACATTGCTCTGATTCTTCGCCACGTCCATGGCATGCTGAACATCAGGTGGCACAAGCATTTGGTTGTACACAGACTTGCCCTTTTCCTTCTCGAACTTCTGCTTGTATTGTTTCTGCAAGTTACGAAGAACAGTGTCGCCAGCAGGTCATAAACACAAGGAGGATTAGAGGAGGTTATTTATTTAGGTCAAATAAAATAAAAAACGAAAGGCGTACCTCGCTGATCAGCTTCTTGACCTCCTTGCTGTGGGCGGTATCACGAGTCTCAGCCAGTTTGGTGAATGAGCCAGATTGCATGATCTTCTTACTTTCCTGCTTATATTTGCTCTGAGAATAAGAATAGGAGCGTTACAACTCACAGTATGTTGCTGAAACACTGTACTCCAAACCAGGCAAGAGCTATTAGCATGAATTAGTCCTAACCTCTGACACTAGAGCCCGCACAGCTTTGGCATGAAGAATCTGAGGCGTATCCAGAACAGGTATGTAGTGACCCTTTGTCTTTTCATATTTCTCTTTGTACTTCACCTGAGGGGAGGAAAATAACATAAAAAAGCTCATTATTTTGATGCAACCCTCATCTTTCCAGGCTCACTCTTGAATGGTTTCTATGAACAGTCGAGAAATACTTACATCACTGGACATTTCAGCGTTCTGCTTATGCAGGATCGTGTACTTATCACTGGCGACAGGGATCACACAGCCCTTCATCATCTCTTTGTCATATTTGTACTCAACCTGTGGGTGAAATTAAATGTACATAAACGCTAACATCTATAAAAAATATATAGAAAGTAGAAAGAAACAATAGAAAGGACAAATGAACTCACATCACTCTGCTGCAGAGAGTTTTTGGCAGCATTGAGAAAATCTGGTCTGTCTGCTGTCCAGATCCACTTGTTCTTTGTTGCCTCGTATTTCTTCTTGTAATCAAGCTAACAGACATATAAGAAATGGTTTATCATGTGTCTTTGTTTGTTTTCAGTTATGTTTTTTAAAGGTGATTGTATTTCCTTTCTTACATTGCTGATGTTCTTGTACGCCTCTTTGGCAGCACGGATCTCATGAGCCTCTGGGTCCATGTTGATCTGGGCTTTGCTCTTCTCATAAACCTCTCTGTATTTCAGCTGCAAGACAAAACAGGACAAATACAGACAGCTAAACATACTTTTTAATGTTTAAAGATAACTTAAAACTGCTAAATGAAGGAGTGGGCTGGTTAACATCAATTACATTAAGTTGTTCTAAATTTTTCATCATAGCCTCCTACAGTCGGTTACCATTCACTCTGAAATTTATACAAATGCTTAAAAATCATAAAACTGCATGTCGAATCCTGGTTCCTCTGTGATTCTAACACTTTGAATGATTAACCTAAGCATTCAAACATACTACACTGGAAAAAATCAAAATCTAGATCTAGATAATTTTTTCTTAAAATAAATGCAGTTATTTTATATTTTGCCTATGGAACAAGACAATTTACATTTAAAATAAGAAAATTTTAAATTTAAAAATACGAAAACACAATTGCATTGTCTTATTTCAAGTGCATATTATCTAATTGTCTTATTTTAAGAGTAAGAATACTCATTCCACTGTCAAACTATCTCATTTACCTACTCAAATTAAGAGTAAATACGATAAATTTAAGAAACTTTTACTAATTTCTAGATTGTTTTTTCAGTGATTAGCAGTCATTTACCTGAAGGTATTAAACTAAACACAGAAATCTTTTTTTCATGTAACTCTAAAGATCAGGACTTAGAAGTCAATTCAAACTATAGATGCAAGTCTTACCTGCTGCTCCCAGTTCAACTTGGAATGTTTCATTTAACCTTTATTTATCTAGGCAAACTATTTCAGAACCACTTCTTATTAACAATTGATAAAATTGTAAATGAGATAACACAATCGATAATAATAAAGATCCTTTCTGGAGTCATATACTATATGAAAGAATAGAGGCTGGAGGCCATTTTGGCTGAGATGTTAATAACATTTAAAAAAAATCAAAAGCAACGTTTTGATGTGAAAATAATGCGCTTAATCCTTTTAAGAGGTGTCAGGCTGTAAAAGGCTTAGATTGTTAGACTAAAACTGTTTTCAAAGGGCCGTTAACAAGCTTAAAGAGGCGTGTCTGATAAGTAGCCTATTATCTACCTGGTGTAACTCTGTAAGGAGCAGCACTGGAAAAAAAATCGAAATCTAGAGAAGTCATTTTTCTTAAAAGAAGTAAATTTTTCTTGGATTGAGGACATAAAACAGACATTTTGCCAATGAAACAAAACAATTTACACTTAAAATAAGAAAACACGATTACATTGTCTTATTTTAAGTGCATATTATCTAACTATCTTATTTTAAGAGTAAAAATACTCATTCCATTGGCAAATTATCATTTACCTACTCAAAATCAAAGGATAACTTAATTTAAGGAATTATTACTTATTTCTAGATCATTTTTCCAGTGATAGGGTTTTATTTGGCTTTTTTTTTTTAAATAATATAAACTAACTGTAATTATTTAATCTGTTTGATTATATTTGAGTCAAAAAAGAAAAAAAAACATAGCATCTTATTTATTCCATTACACATAATAAGATTAGGGTGTCATTTTTTAGTAGAAAGTTTGGGTGAAACTCACATTGCTGGTGATCTCTTTGACCTTCTTCATGTGCTGCTGGTGTGGAGTATCATAAGGCAAGGTGTATCCCTTGGCCTTGGTCTTGTTGTACTCCATCCTGTAGATGATCTAAATAAAAGAAAAGAATATTTTAGTTGAATAGTAAAATGCAAATAAAGATAGAAGTAAAACATAAACAGGGAAAGAACAACAAAAAACTTACATCCGTAATCTTCTTGCTGCGTTTGTGAGCCTCATACTCAGGAGTGTCCAGGACAGAAGTGAACTTATCTTTGGCGCGCTCATACTGCTCCCTGTACTTCCACTGAGGAGGGACAACATTCAAATTAGCATAGCTCATTTAAAAACCAGTGTATTAAATGCTAAAAATAATAATAATAAATAAGAAAAAAAAAAAAATATATATATATATATATATATATATATATATATATATATATATATATATATATATATATATATATATATATATAAAATATTTGTGTGGTTGTAACTAATGAATGCAAAACAACAACAAAAAAAAACTATACAAAATAGAGCTCTTAAATTATATTGGGGGAGAAAAAATTTTACGAAAATTGAACTATATTTACTTGTTTGGATAGTTTTTTTAAGTTATAAATCAAAGAAAATGCATAAATATCAATTCATCTTTTATTACGAAAACAAAGATGGAGTGTTAGCATGCATAACGTCACCAAAAACATGCTGTATTAGACACAGAAAGATGTGAAGATGACAATTAAAAACACAAGTTACCACTATTTGATGATGAAAGCCTGCGGTGCCCACCGTCTTCACAATGACCTGCTGCTCTTCCACTGAGCTACATTTAATATTAATACAGAATTTACCCTCAAAACATTGCATTTCTATTTTAGTTATAGTAGCAGCTGCTTTTACTGCTGGCATTGGATGCTCTTGTGGAGTTTTTGTTTACCTTTGGTGAATTTTATTGTTTGTAGCACCATAAATGGAGGCTAATAGAATGGACACTGAATATTTTTTTTACTCAAAGAATAATAAAAAAAAAAACTTATATTAAAAATCCTATAGATATAAACTATATTGCATAAAAATTGCAACTCATGAAATATAATATAAAATATAAAGGTCTAATAATGTAAAATATAACTAACTTTGCAGCTGCATATGCCTGCTAACAACTAGGTGACTGCACTGCATTTTAGAATACGTTAGAGTTTTAATTAACAATGAGATACGAGTGATGGAGGGATTAACAGTGATTAATGCATGGATTCAGAACTATGTGGCCTAAACGGATGGGAGGATGGGAAAAACCATGTCCAAAAACACCAGGAGAAAGAGGAAAATCTGTGATCTGAGGCTTTAGGCAATAAACTTTAGAGGTAGATGAGATGGCAAAAATGTCTAATAAGATCATATTTGCTTTTTGAAACTAAAGTGCGATTTACCATGTAAAAAACATGCCTCACATACAAAAGAAAAAAAAAAAGAGAGTTTGATCTAAAATAATTTATAAACTCTCCCTTTTTTTTTTTTCCTAGAAGAAGATTTTGAAGCAGATTTCCATATTTTGTCAACCTGGGCTTGTCTAACCAAAAGACTTAAACGCTCTAAATCCAAAAATATTTTGATATAGAAGTAACAAAAAAAAAAATCAACAGCACACCAAAATGCTGTTGATAAATATTTATTTTAAATTAATATATTTGCCCTTAAATGGAGCAGCTAAATAAGATGATCAAAGGAATTAGTTTATTCAACTTGAAATAAGATAACAGGGATGTTTTGTCTTATTTCAGAATTAAATAACCTTATTCATTTGGCAAAATTGTCTTATTTACCTGCTCAGAAAACTGAATTACTTGTATTATTAATAATTTTTTGCTGTGTAGAAAGCTCCGCTTTGCATTTCATCAGCATCCTCTAATCCTCAACAATCGAATGAGTTTAAACCCCCCAAACGTAGATGAAGGGTGTATTTCCTGTGTGTTTGTGGACAGGTCTGTGCTACAACAGCTCAGCGAACTCTGACGGTTTACCTTGCTGCCCATAGCAGACTGGCAAAGGGCTGTGAGGATGTCAGGACGGAGTAACTCATTGCAGCCAGTCTGTAGCAGATCCTTTGCTCGGGATTTATATTTTTTCTGTCCGCACATACAGTAACAAACATACACACAAAGCATGCCAGAGTTTAGAACAAGCTAAGAGACAGAAATAACTCTGGAAGGACTGGAGGAGATCTCCGCAGATCCAGGTGAAACACCCAAAGGTCATCTGTGCCCACGGAGAGAGAGAAACCATCACCTTTGATGGAGTCTGGTTTAGATTATTTAATTAAACATTTAATAGAAATGTTCAGTTCATCTGTGAACTCCTGCTGTCTCTCTCAGGGAACAGATGCACATAGGTCATGCTCACTCAAGGTAGCAGCTGCTATTTGAGTGGCACGAATTACAGGAACCTGTGAGGGACAAATAGAAACAGAGAGGACCCGTCACAGCCATGCGGCGACCGCCCCCACTGGCAGCTGTGCGGACAACCTCATGCACCAGTGTGAGCTGGCTGGAGGACCTGCAGCGTGCAGGTAGGCTGGCCGGTCGCTCGGCACTTCCAGGACCTTTACCTGGCTCATCTTCCTGTTCTCCCTGGCCAGCTGGTATCTAGGATCATCTGTAGTAATGGTGAACTTATCCTTGGTCTTCTCATAATTAGCTTTGTAGATCCTCTGCTCAGAATTTCAGAAGTTTGTTAAAAAAAAAATACACGTGTCTCTGGTATGTCAGAAAACTTTTAAGGACTACAAAAAAATATGTTGCTGTAAAAAAATGGACAAAAAGTTAAATATGCGTCATCAGAAATGGGAAACAATTTCATTCACATTTTTTCTAGCATGTCTTCTTGCACAGAAAACACAGCAAAGTCATATTAAATTCACATGAAAGAACCACAGTACTGGTTTTATTGGACTTCAGTGCAGCATTTGATACCGTTGATCACTCCATTTTATTAGAGGACCTGGTAAACTGGGTCGGCCTTTCTGGTAAAACACTGGACTGGTTTTAATCCTATCTGAAGGACAGGGACCTCTATGTATCAGTAGGGAACCTAAATCAGAGACCTGAAAAAAATCACTTACGGCATTCCTCATAGCTCCATTCTGGGGCCCCTCCTATTCACCATCTACATGCTCCCCTTAGCTTAGATTATAGCAAACAACTCGATCAGTATCCATAACTATGCAGACTACACACAGCTTTACATCACAATGTCACCAGGTGACTATAAACCCATCAGCACCTCAATACATGGAACATCATTCTACAACTGAATAAAAACAAAACTGAGGTAATAATCTTCAGACCAAAGGAGAAGAGATCCAGAGTTAGCTCACAGCTTCAGCTAGAAATCACCGATTATGGCTGAAATCTTGGTGTCAGGATGGACTCAGACCTGAGCCTTCAGAGGCACATAAAGGTAGTTACAGGGTCAGCCTTTTAAAATCTGAAGAACATTTCCAGGACTAAAGGACTTATGTTCAAGCAGGATCTACAAAAACTAATTCATGGATTTATCTTTAGTAGAATTGATCACTGCAACTGTGTCTTCACAGGTTTGCCTAAAAAAGTCCACCAGACAGCTGCAGCTGATCCAAAGCTCTGTTGCACGGGTTCTCACTAGAACTAAGAAAGTAGAACACATCAACCCGGTTCTGAAGTCCTTCAACTGGTTCCCTGTAGCTCAGAGAGTAGATTTAAAATCCTTCTGTTAGTCTATAAATCCCCTGAATAAATCAGCACCTTAATGCATAACATTTGTTGACAGTGTATGAACCTCCCAGAACAATCAGGTCTTCTAATTCCTCCCTACTCTGTCCACCCAGAACAAGAACCAAACATGGAGAAACAGCTTTTAGTTCCTATGCTCCACTGATCTGGAACAAACTCCCAGAAGACTGGAAAATTGCTGAAAGCCTGAGTTCTTTGAGGTCAAAGTTAAAAACCCATTTAGAACTGCCTTTGACTGTTGAAGTTAAAGTGCTAACCGAGGTATTATCACTTTAAGGTTGTGATCCAGCTGATTTATTTGTTTTACTACCTGCTTTTATAATGTTTTTATCTTTATTTTTACTTTACTTTTCTTCTGTCTTATCATATACTTCATGTAATTCTTTGAATTGCCTTTGAACTGAATTGTCTTATACAAATAAACTTGCCTCGCCTTGAAAACAGGTTGTTTTTATTAGAGTTTTTCTTCTTTCAGACTTATTATTTATAAAATGTCTCTGTGACATCACCAGTGAATATATGAATGAGGCTAATCTGACATCCATGTAAAGATGCTTCTCTTATCTCACATTAAGCTTCAATGGATAGAAAACTGTGAGAACTCCTCACTCCTTTTCACTCCTCTGACCCTCTTCTAACCTTTTATATACAGTTTACTCATAACCTTTCTTACAATTAAGTTAATATATATATATAAGAGGCCTGAAATATAGCAGTTCTGTGCTTAAAAGCAGTTCTATTGTTGATCAAATTTGAACTACACTTCCCTGAGTTCTCTAGCAGCCACATTGTTAGGCATCGGTATTCTAAGTTATTGTTAAATAATGATACCTTTACATCGTTTTACCTCCAAGCAGAGAGTCCAAAAGAGAAGCAAAGAGACAGATTAACATGTTTGATCATTTTTGAGTGAATAAAAATCAGATTATTTAATACAGTATAAAAGGAAAAGAAGGGGAAAGACTCACATCGTTGATAAGAAGTGAGGCGTTCCTCATAGCCTCGAAGAACGGCGTGTCGCACGTGTATTTGAAGTTTCCTCTGTTCTTCTCAAAGGAGGCTTTGTAGAGTCTCTGCGATTAAAAAGGAGGGTTGGAAAACAAGCAGAAAGCAAGGTTGAAGGATATAGGAGAGGTGTCGCCCCCTCACCTCACTGTAGAGAGTCTTATTCTTATCAGCCAGCTGCAGCTCAGGAGTGTCCCACGCGTAGCAGCCGATACCTCTCAGCCACTCCAAGTCCTCCTTATACTTCACCTAAACACAGAGGATCAAGGCAAAAAACGGGGTTTTAGCACCAGTGTATTACAGCATGTTAGTCCCTCCTCCTGCTGTGAAGACTTGTGAGGTATGAGCGCTCACATTGCTGATGTTATCATTGGCTATCTTGCTGAAGAAAAACTCGGGGCGGTCAGGGATGGACTTCCATGTGCCCAGAGAGTTAATATACTTCTCTCTGTATTTGACCTGCAGAGGAGAAAGGCATAGAGAGACGGTTTAAGGAAAATGAAAACGGGTCATTGCCTTTTTATTTCTGATCAGTTAATTTCAGCCTCTGACCTCGCTGATGTCATCGGTGAATTTACGGTGGCAGACGATGTCCAGGGCATCCTTGTTGGTGTGATAGTGGCCTTTGGAAAGCTCAAATGTTTCCTTGTAGCGCAACTAAAGGAAGGATCAAATTTGGGGAAAGTTAATAAACTATAAGAAATCAAGTTATCTACTAGGATTTTGGGAAATGTTTCTTGGTCCTACTTACGTCACTGGACTGCAGGTAGGCTTTCTTGGAACGGATCAGCATGGGCGTGTCAGCAATAGCAGTGTACCTGTGCTTCATCTTTTCATACTGTTCCTTGTATTTAATCTGAGTGCAGAACAGAAAACACAACAGGTTAGATATTTGTTTTATAGATACTTGGATCCATTTAGGTAATTTAAAGTATTTTAATAGAAGAATAGACGTCTTACTTCACTGAAGACCACTTTCATTTTTCTTGCATGTTGATTAACTGGAGTGTCTTTCTCTGGAGTGAAATGAGTTCTCTCCTTAGAGGCCAGATCTGTGTACTGGTACTGTGGGGAAAAAAATGAAGAATCAAGCAGTATGTTTTATGTTAGATAAATGATCAAATGTGATTACTACGCCTGAAGAGCAGAGATGTATTTTGGATTGCCTTGTTTGTCAGCTGCTGGGCCCACTTGACTCGCTTGATGTCCATAGAGTCTGCGATGGAGGAAACTTTAACCATATCCTTTCTGCTCTGAGCTCTGTATATCCTCTGGAAAGAGACAAGAAAAGAAAATGTAAAACCTGCTGCAAAATAGATTAAAAAAGCAGAACTTTTAACGAATATTGCACAAAAAATACAAGAGATGAAAGTTGTTATATGCCTGAAGAAACAAATCTGCTGTTACAAGAAACAAAATGCAAAAATATGACTTCCTTTAACTGTCACTCTTCAAGGAAGGTGAGATTTTCTTTTTGTGATTGTGCAAAAAGTTACTCTCTATATTTATTCCTCCCATCCTGAGCTATGCATCTCTGCAGCTCATCCAAAGTTACCAAAGGCTTCTCTGTCTGATCCTATCTTTGAAATGTGGGTGGACCACTGATCTCCATTTAGACTGAAAAAGAAGTCACCTGTCGTCATCTTGGTACTCCCCACTTGCCATAAAATGCATGTATTGTAATTGAATTACCTTAATAATGTAATCAATACATGTATATTACATGTACAACATCACTTTAGCACTTTTGGCAATCATCAGATAGTCTGTGTGTGTATCTGTAATATTCTTAATATCTGACTACAGTATCATTATGCTCCATTAACACACTATTTTTGATGTGATGGATTTGTATAATATGTTTTAATACATAATGTATAGACTTTATGGACTTCATACTGAATGGGCAATGCAAAGTGCCTATTTTTTAACCATAAATTACAGTAATCTAGAGATGCTCTGAAACAGCAGGTGTGTGTGAAAGTAATTATTTTGTTCTAAAAGTCTTAAGTCCTCGTGAAAATGAGAACCACATCATTGTTCAATGTTGTAGGGCACGTATTGTTTATGAGCGTTCTAACTAGGGAGTACCAATATGGCGGCTGGTGACATCACAGCACCGTGTATTACCAACTGCCCATCAGCAATCCAGTGAATAAATGGAGATTAGTGGGGTGGACACAGTAAAGCAAGCTACTTGGATTTCCCCCAATAGATGTTTAATAAAAATAGAAAAGAAAACCGTTTGATATTGATAATTTTTCTTAATCATCTACAAACTGTTGGTTCAATACATAAAATGTAAATATTGAGGGTATAAAAATGCTATATATAACATGAAAAGTCAACTCACGTCACTCATGTGGGTCTTTAACTCGGTCACGCGGTTGTATTCTGGAGTATCCAGGACCACAGTGAAGTTAGATAGGTTCTTTTTAGCATCGTCTGGATAGCTTGTCTATGAAACAACAAAAAACAAGTTTTATAGGAGATGCACCTCTGAAAAAATACCTTTTGTTAATATGAAATGAACATCTCAAAGGACGCACATACCCTGAATTTGGTGATGTTACGGACGTGGACCATCTCCGGGGTGTCATACAGGAAGCAGCCAACACCTCTCAGCCACATCAGATCCTCTTTATACCTTAGCTAATATCAACAAATAACATTCATGTTGAAAAATGTTGTGAATATGTGGGGAATATTTCAATGTATTTTATTGCAATACCTCACTGGTGATCTCATTGACGTGGTGACAGTGCATGAGTTGGGGTGTTATAGGCATAGAGATATACTGGCCTCTGCTGTTGTAGTATTTCTCCTTGTAGCAAATCTAGAGTGATGAAGAACAAACAAAAATGGAGGCATAAACCACACTTCCTCTCAACAACATTCCACCAGGAATAAAGGACAAAATGTAAAGAGGGTTGTTGATGCATACATCACTCAGGTTCTGCTGGTTCATCTTGACCTGTTTGACCTCAGGCGTGTCGTAGGTTGTGTGGATCTTGTCCTTCTGCTTGTGGTAGGTTTCACGATACAAACGCTGAGGAAGCAAATGGGTAAAAAATTATTTCTCTCAAGCGAAATCGCATCCTTATGCGTTCTGTTCGACGACGCTCGGAAATGTTCGCCACTTACGTCGTTGATGATCTTGTGAGCCTTCCTGGCAGTGACGAAGTTGACGCCTTCTGGATGAAGAGTGTAGGATTTGGCCTTCACCATCTCAAAGGCTTCCTTGTATTTTACCTAAACAGATAATGGTGGAAGTGGATTAAACAGGTGCATTTTGATACCTTCATGTTTCAAAACTACATTTTAATGAATCCCTACATTGCTGGTGACAACACTGTTCATCTTGGCCTGCTTGAGGAGCGGAGTATCACTAGGCAGGGAGAAACCAGTGGGCATGAAGTTCTTGTTCGCCTCTTTGTACCATTTCTAGTAGAAAAAAACACATTTAGGGAGAATATTTTACATGGTCTGGTACTATATATATATATATATATATATATATATATATATATATTAAACATTAAGTAATGTTGACGTACATCACTCTGGATGTGGTGGGCCAGGCGGGCTCTTTCTGTTTCCATGGTAACAGCAGGGGAGGTGTGGGTGCCCTTGACGTTGGAGTTGTAATCGTAACGGTAATGAAGCTGGACAAAAGAGCAGAATATTTTTTTATTCATAATCTTGTTTATCATGATTTGTTTTTTAATCTGGCAGCATGTCTTTTATTAGAATCTAATGTAAGAAAGGTATTTATAAAAAACAGGGAAAACAATGTAATTACATCACTCAGGTTCTGAGCGTTCAGCTTGGCTGTTTCGTACACCGGAGTGTCCGTCACTACAGTGTAGTCCTTGAACGCCTCGATACCTTTGGCTCTGTACTTGGCCTGAAAAGAGAAAAATGCAACAAAATAAAACAATAAATAAATGGTGGAGAGGATTTAGATAAAGGATGAATATTTTAAAAACATTTACCTCACTCTGTAGGTTACCAGCATTCTTAACCCGCAGGATCTCTGGAGTGTCCCAGGCGTAACAACCGATACCCTTCAGCCAGTTCAGGTCATCCTTATAGAAGATCTAAGGGAGAATAACTTACATTTAGCACATTTTCAACCTTGATAAAATCCGTTCAAACTATTTTATGGGTTCGGTGTGATGCTACGACCGTACGATGGTTACTCACATCGCTGAGCTGCTCGTTGACTTTGCGTGCCTGAACATACATCTGCATGTCGGGCAGGCATATCCACTGGTGTAGATATTTGCGGTAGTGGATGCCGCTGACAGTGGACTGGGTGTTGCGAGCAGACATGATCTCCAGCATGTCAGGGGGGATATGGTTCTTGGCCTTTGTCTTCTCGTAGTTCTCCTTGTACAGACGCTGAACGGATAAGCAAAGGGATGCTTGCATTAGTTGACAAAATTCATAGCATTACAAAAAAAAACCAGTATCTTTTAATAGTGTTAATATAAAGAAGATCAGGATATAAAAGAATTAAAATGCTCACATCTAGAACCAGCTTTCCGGCTTTGACGCAGCGAGCGGTCGCAGGGTCGTCTTCAAGCGACTTTGGAAGACTGTAAAGGGATTTGAATTTTTCATAATCCTCCTTGTACTTGACCTGAAGAGGCAAGAAGATGCATATAGTGTCTTGAAGCAGACAATCACATGTACATTTATAGGTTAATCATCAATTAGAAAATGTAATGGTTGGTGATGAATTTGAACTTACGTTGCTGAGAACGACCTTCTGCTGTTTGGCGTGTTGTAAGGCGTTGGAATCAGCTGGAATTTGGTAGCTCTTTGCCTTAATTTTATCCCAGGCTGCTGTGTAGTTTTTCTTTGGATAGCAATTTTAAGACATTAACAACAAATTCCTCAAAGTCTTTATCATTATGAAAATATTTTATTGTTACTGACATTGCTGAAGAAATATTTGAAGTTGTGGCATCTGGCGTAATCGTAGGTATCCAGAACAGTGGTGTATATGTGCTTCTCCTTCTGATAAGCCTCCCTGTAGTTCAGCTGGAAAACATAGAAAAAGGATGAGGTTATCTGGCTTTTCTTTCTTGAACAGCAATCACATCATTTTATTTTTTTAAATCTCGTACCTCGCTGGCCCAGGTGTGACCCAGGACGGCGGTCACATACTCAGGTGTGTCGGTCACAATGGAGTAGTTGTAAAATTCTTTCTTGGCATCAGCTCTGTATTTGAGCTGGAAATAAACCAAACAGACGAATTATCAGAGAGGTAAACATCATCTTTATAACTGGAATAGGTTTTAAAGTAATGTTTGATATGAAACATGCGTGCGGTTCCTCACATCGCTCTGCAGATCGTAGGATTTCTTGGCGCGGAGAATCTCTGGTGTGTCCCAGACGTAACAACCGATGCCCTTCATCCAGTTCAGGTCATCTTTGTAAAACACCTATTGAATGAGTTCAGTAAAACATGACGGATTATATATTATTTCAAAATGAGGATTATTAGATTTTTGAAAATCCGGAATATTCGGAATAATAAAACAGAAATGTTTGCCTGTTCTTAGAGCTCAAGTGTGTAATAATGTGGGCATACATTTCAAATGTTTAACTTATATTTTCTATAAAAAAAACAAGTTAGAATATACCTTAGACAGTTATATGACTGAATGAATATTTATCTTTAATGAGGGTCAAAAACTTTTACTTTCTCTTTTCTGTCTTTCTGTCTTTTAGTATTTTTTTTCTTTGAGGTCAAAGGTTAAAGGTAAGTGCTGAAAGTTTAAAGGTAGACATATTAGATTTTGCCTTTAACTTTATATGTGATTGAAAATAAAGCTAAATCTCTAAAATACTAAATTGATCAGGGTGTCAGGAAGTTAAATTCAATTAAATTTAAACCTTTATTAATACTTATTAATGACCATGCTGATATGAGATCTAAATTAATCAATAAACACCTACTACAAGTTCCCCCATTGGTTTATGAATCAAATACATTAAAGCTTTATAAATCATTTCGGCAAAAAAAATTTAAAAATAAATACGATCTGAGCTGCTAGTGAATGATATTTATTCTAAGATGCCAAAACACACAATACAGTAAATATTGGCCTATTATAAAACAATAATGATAAATAAATATATAGATTCATAAACATATGATGTTGTTGCTTCATGTAATAACATAAACATAACACACATTAATATGAAGAGGAGGGACAAACTAATATTAAATGTAAATGTAAAAAAATATGTATTTCGGATTTCTTAATGCTTAAGAAAATAAAAATACTTTTAACATGTAATAAAAACACTGAATAATGGTGTAAAGTTACAACTGTCTCTAAAACAATTTAACAACTAAGATAAAGAGACCTAAATTATTTACTAAGAATCAAATCAAAACAGAAATGCACCTAAAATTAGTTTTACAAATTTTTATAAAAAAAAAAAAAAAAAAGAAGTACATTATAAATGTTAGAACAGCAGCAGAACGTGAACAGAAAGGAACGACTTACATCACTGAGAATCTCGTTGGTCTTCCGGGCGCGGATGGCATCCTCCTGTTCTGGATGGCACGTCCACTGGTGCAGGTGGGTGCGGTAGAGGACGTCGCTCAACATGTCCTGACACCGCTTAGCTACCTGGTTGGCGATGATGTCAGATGGGAGGTGGATCTTGGTCTTGGTTTGGTGGTAGTCCTTCTGGTAGACCCTCTATAAAAACATTTTATAGAAAATCTCAGTCATACTGTGGCTGACAGAAAATCCACAACCTTAGGTTTAAAGCTAAGGTTTCCTCCTCTTACTTGACTTGAAATATGTTATGTTCATACTCTTATTTGAGTACAATTATGGTACTGACCCCAACCTCAACCCTTTAACTCAGATACTGAGTAAAGGGGACATTTCTGGGAGAAATAAAGTCTTTCTTCCAACTATCAGTGGGCTTTTTTCGTTGTTTTTGTTTGACACAAGACAAATTATCCAAAAATATAAGTGGGTATTATAATATGGTTTCCATGGTACAGTAACTATTTTATATATTCATGTTTAAAGGGATATACACATCGAAGCATAAGATATATATAGAATGTTATAATACAGATGGTGTTTTGAGTAATTGCTTTCTAGACTTTAACACTGGTAGATTTTTGTGTGGTGCGCATATAAAAAATGTCACTATTGCAGAGAACTTACCAGTCCCTTATTCTTCTCCTGCTGGCCACAGCGCACCACCTCAGGGAAGTCCACCAGGGTTCCCGCCATGTAGTGGCCCTTGGCTTTCTCATGAGTATCCTTGTACTTAACCTAAAAAGCAGAATTAATTCACTTTATTTCATGCTGCTATCAGAAAACATAACTTCATGCATACTTTAACCTTTCAAGCAACTGTAGTAATAACAATAATAATAATAATTTCTTATTTGAAAACTTACATCACTGGCAATCTCCCTGCTCTTCTTGCCCATGAGCAGTGGGATGTATTGCTGGTCCAGGCTGTAGCTTGTAGCTTTAGTACTGTCCCATTGTGATTTGTATAGTTTCTGAAATGATAACAGGAGTTTTAAAGTAAGGGAAAAAATATAAAGCAAGTGAAGAAACAACACAGTCATTTCTGTCTTCTTACCTCACTGATGGTCTTGGCCATATCTCTACTATGTGCCAGCTGAGGAGTATCTTCTGAGCCGATGTAATGACCTTTCTCTGCATTGAAAGTCTCTTTATATTTCAGCTGTTGAGAAAGAAAATTATTTCAATTTATTTTCATGTACCCATTAATAAAATTGTGTCTTCCATTTTTTTAGATGTTGTTTCATGGGAACCACAGGACTGCGTACATCACTGAGGTTAGCGGCGTTAATCTTGGCCAAGACAATCTCAGGACGATCCACAATCAGGCTGAATTTTCCAAAGCCTTCTATGGCGTTCTTCTTATAAAGTCGCTAAATAAAGGGAAAAAAAAGAAGTGACAACATCAAGAACGACCACGGCAGCAATAAGGCAGTAATTCTTGTGAAGTGCCTCCAGACTGGATGCAATGACAGAACCGTACCTCATTAAGTATTTCCTGCGCCTTCCTGACTTTGACGTGGTCAACAGAGTCAGCTGCCATCCAACCGCAGCCACGGATCCATTCCAGATCAGCCCTGTAGACGTTCTGCAGGTGGAAACCATAATTAGCTTAAAAAAAAGGTTTTAAACTTTATGAAATTAATTTAAAAATGTTAAACTTCTTTACTTACATCACTCTGAAGGTCATAAATCTTTCTGGCCTGAACCACATCATTGGAGTCAGGCAGACATGTCCACTGGTGCAGACGAGTCCTGTAGTTGAAGTCATTGACTTGCTGCTGGCATTTCTTTGCCAGCTCCAGATTCAACATGTCCACTGGCAGGTGGAACTTGGTCTTGGACTTGTTAAAGTCCTTCTTGTAAAGAGCGTCACTGGCGATCCTAGCTGAGTTCAGAGCCAGCATGATGAGAGGATCATCCTCGACGCAGCGAGCACCGATGTGGTGGCCAACCTGCTTGCGGTATCCCTCTAGGTAATTATGCTACAAGACAAACAAAATGTTCTCATGACAGTGTTTCTTTAACATGCATTCAAGCATTGGAGTCTGTTACAGTACAATTTGTAAAATCATGCCTCATGTCAGATGTAAAAAAAATGATCAAATAGCCATTTAACAAATGCCTGTTCCTGTTTAACATTTGAAAAGCAGTGTAAGACTTTAAGGATCTGTTAAGGTAAGGACAAAAATAAGATTGATTAGAGACCGTCTACCAATGAATGCTGCATTGGTTAACTTTGAAATCGAAATAAATCTCTCAAATCTCAAACTAAATTTCGTTAATTGGACCAATTTTATATTTTTATTTTCTACCTACAATGAACTGAGCACTGTCAGACAAAAACTGTCTGATATGTGCACAAAAAAGGGATCGTTAAGCCTATTTCAATCTTTCATCAGGAAAAAGAACAGGATATGAGTCAGTTCTTCTGTGAAAATTATTGCTTTTTTTCTCAAGTGTGAAAAACAATCAAGCTTGATAACTTGGTCACAGGGGTTCATGTTAGTCGCCCCTGGTTTAAAGGATCACATCTCTTGCATGTTCAATTCCACTGATTCAATAACATGAGGGTAATTTTATGGGATTCATACAGTATGGTTATGTAAATCTTCAGCAACAGCCTCCTTTACTGTATGTGAGAATTAATGCTGATCAGCTTAATTTGAGATTAAAACTGGAGCAGATTTTTAGGGAAAGACCCTTAAAATAGTCATGACTGATCACAAAAATTCTTTAAATCACTCACTTTTATTGTATTTTATCCTGTATGGCAATACTTTAAATGCATTGCTAGAATTTAATGAGCGTTATTGTCTATCTTTATCTTTGCATGTCACCAAAAAGGCCAAATACAGTAAGTACAAGCCTCACAAAGTATCTGTTAAGGTATCTGTTATAAATGCAAAAATGTTCTAGGTTCTTAAAACTTTATATTTTTAATCTAAAGTCCCTTTACTTACCTTACTCTGGACTTTAGTTGTAAGCATGCTCTGTTTAATTGGTACAGCGTCTCCAGGCATGAAGAATCCGGTGGCTTTCACCTTGTCCCACGCTTCAGTGTACAGTTTCTATATAATAGGAAAAAAAAAAGAAAGAAGGAAAAAGGAAATAAATCTCCAGGATAGCCGAAAGCAAACAATAATTAGTTGAAAAATATGGTAAATCTTACCGGGTGAACATTTTTGGCGACCTCTCTGGCTGTAGCAAGACCGGGAGTATCTACCAAAGTGTACTTGGTCTTTTCCTGGTGCCAAGCCTCACGGTATTTGGCCTGTGCAGGAAAAAAAACAAAACACCCAATTTAGTTACTTAAAAAAATATAAATGTGATTCTGCATTGTGTCTTAAAACAAGGTGTAATGATAAGAAGAAAACCATTTAGTTACCTCATTTAAGACATCAGCAGCATTCTTGGCACAAGCCAGGTCAACTCTATCAGCAGGAACCGTGAACTCCTGTCTATCGAGCTTGATACGGTAGCCTCTCTGTGGGAAAAAGCAAGATCAAACATATATAAGTAATTATTTAGTTAATTTTTTTCTATGCTTTTACATTTCAACATTAAATGTTTTACATTTTAAGTGTTTTGGGGAGAGTTGTTGTTCATACTTACATCAGCAAGGATCTTCTGAGCATGTTTCACCTTGACAACGTCCACAGACTCATGAGGCATCCATCCACAGCCTCTTATCCACTCCAAATCAGCTTTGTACACAGCCTAGAGGAAAAAAACAGAATCCTGTTTATATTGGAATTCATTCATATGAATGATAACTGATGTAAAACAGATGCTATCCAAGAACATTGCCATGAACCTACATCGCTCTGGAGGTCATAGGCTTTCCTGGCCTGAACCACGTCGTTGGAGTCTGGCAGACACGTCCACTGGTGTAGGTGAGTCCTGTAGTTGACGTCATTCACTTGAACCTGGCATTTCTTGGCTAGTTCAAGACTCAACATGTCCACTGGCAGGTGGAACTTGGTCTTGGATTTGTTGAAGTCTTTCTTGTACAAAGCGTCACTGGCGATCCTAGCTGAGTTCAGAGCCAGCATGATGAGAGGATCATCCTGAACGCAGCGAGCACCGATGTGGTGACCGACCTGCTTCCTGTATCCCTCTTTGTACTTGTACTAACAGGGAAAGGAACAAAACAAGTTACTAAAAAAGAAAATCACCAGGTCTATGTCATATGGATGTGAAAGGCTTTTTTTCTGCCTCTTACATCACTAATGATGTCTCTGGAGGCTCTAGCTTTCAGCACAGCTATAGCATCCTCCTTGATTTGGAAGGCTTTGGCCTTTTGGTCGTCCCATGCTTGAGTGTACAGTTTCTATACAGAACAAAAACAGGTAGATAACGGAGAGATATATCAACTTCAAACCAGAAAACATTTCAATATGAACAGATGATGTCATTTTTATAGCTAAAAATTTAACACCAACTCACATTGCTGACAGTGATAGCATTGGCCTTGGCCAGCTCATAAGGAGGAATGTCAGGGGGGATGTGAGTGACGAGCTTCTCTTTGTCCCAAGCCTCCCTATATTTCCTCTATTGAAAAGGAAAGCACAAAACATTATTTCCTTATTTGCACAACTGCTTTAAAGAGTTTTCATGTTAATCTGATAAAACTCGTGGTCAGATGTTAGCACTCACATCACTGAGGTTGTCTGCGTTTTGCTTGGACAGGACGATGGCTGGAAGGTCAACCACACTGGTGAACTTGACGGTGCTTGGGTGCTGGCGGTACAGCCTATCATTGAGAACGGTCTGTGCATGCTTAACCTTGATGACATCCACACTGTCCTGGGGGGACCATCCGCACCCTTTCAGCCACTCCAGATCTGCTTTGTAAACAGCCTAAAAGAAAAAAAACAGCATCAAGATTTTTTTCTTTATTATTCTATAAATTGTCCAAAATGCACAGCTTCATTTCGAAAGAAGGTAATTAATCTCCAAAATCAGATGTGTTTTTTTTCTGTTTCTGGGTAGTAACATTTATACATATCATAGCAGTACTACATTACTTCTATTTCTACAGTTATACAGTACTACCAATGCCATTGCAACAACTAATACTAGGGGTGTAAGAAAACAAAACAATTCTGTCAAATAGCGCCATATTTCATTAAGCAATATATATTCAATTAGGAGTAGGAGTAAGAATGATATATAAGTGAAAAATATCTATAGGAAAACCTCCAGCCACTAGTCCGCAGTGCACCGCCCAAGTGCCTATTGTTTAACTTCTCTGTACCAGCAGCAGCAGCAGCAGAGCAACGAGATCTTGTGCGGTTCTCCAAAGCTATATTATCATGAAAATCTCAATATATCATCTATGTTAATGTATCGCGATAAATCAGATTGTGGCATGTGTATTGTGATATATATCGTATCAAAAAATTCTTACCAACTCACACTCAAAACTACTACTACTATGAAAATAATATAATATAGATATTAATTAAGCTGAATAGAACTGCCAGAGTACAAAAACTCACATCGCTCTGTAGGTCGTAGACTTTCTTGGCCTGAACCACATCGCTTGAGTCGGGCAGGCATGTCCACTGGTGCAGGTAAGTTCGGTAGTTGGTGTCGTTGACCTGCTGCTGGCATTTCTTAGCCAGCTCAATTGTCAGCATGTCTACCGGCAGGTTGTACTTGGTCTTGGTCTTGTTATAATCCTTCTTATAGACATTGTCACTGGAGATCTTGGCAACATGAGCGGCCAGCACCAGTAGCGGGTCGTCGCTGACGCTCAGAGCACCGATATGGTGGCCGCACTGCTTGCGGAAACCAGCCTTGTATTTGTACTGAGGACAGAAGATGTTTCCATGAGATTTAGATCAAATTTTTTATATTCAAGCAGAGTCAGATGGGGAGTGTGAAAAAATGCACGAGAATGGATCCAAACTTACATCACTGACAATGTCGCGGGATGCTTTGGCTGCTACAACAGAAATAGCATCCTTTGGCAGATAGTAGCCTTTGTTGATGGTGTCAACAAAACCTTCACGATAATATTTCTGTGAAGGAAACAAAAAGGAATAATTAATCTAGGGAGTAATGTGGGTTGTCCAGTTTCTGCTGTAGATCAACAATCCTTTCAAATTCATATGCATGTGTTCATTCAGCAGTAGTCTTTAGACCAAAGGGTTGTTTAATTATGTAAAATACCAGTACTTTACCAGACTGGTGTTGAGTTTATTCTGCTGTGCTAGGAGGATCTCTGGAGTATCAGGTAAGATATGCAGGTTAGTCTTGTCCTTTTCCCAGGCTTCAATGTATGCTTTCTGTAGAAAAATGGACCAAAAACAACATTAACAACCTTTTTTTTTTTCTTTCTTATTAAACCAAATGTGAGCATTGAGCTTCCCAAAAAGTCTTGTAAATTAGCTATTAATAAATTCCTCTTTTTGTACCTTGTTCATAATCTGGGCATTAGCTTGAGCTAGAGCATATGGCATATCTGATGTCTTGGCAGTGAACTTGAATTGGCTGGGATGCTGGCGGTACTTCCTGTCGCTCAGGATCTCTGCTGCTTTCTTGGCTTTCTCCACATCCAATGACCCAATTGGTACCCAGCCCATTCCCTTAACCCATTCCATGTCAGCCTTGTACACAGCCTATGAACGGAATGTAAAAAGGAAATGTCAGACTAATATTTAATTGAATAAGAAAAGCAACTCTGAAAGACATTTAGTTCCTCAAAGTGGAGTCATATCTCTTAAACTTTGCACAATCACAAATTCATTGTGTGTGATTTGGATTTAATGCGATTGGCCAACTCAAATAAAATGTATATAGTTGTACAGTGGGAAGAAAATAATACATAAATCTAAGAAGTGTGGCCTCGTTTTCAAGCTTTTAGAATAAGTCTTAACAGCTGTGTATGTTTATAGTAACTGAATATTTGTACCCTTTCTTGCAAAAAGTAGCTCTATATAATTCACTATATGATGGTGAAAATTGTGAACAATCAAATTTTGACTAAATTAGATATAAGTCAAGCTGTCAGTTTAGGACGGGGGGTGATAGTGAGTTATAAATGTTAGTAGTGATACAAAATGTATACTTTACTAAAATTAAACTACAATTGGATCAACATGATAGAATCATACAATAAAATGAAAGTTTATACAGGCAACATTAGAAAATATTCTATTTTTGTAGTATTTTCTACGGTAAACTTGCAAAAGTGGTTTTCTATACTCACATCACTTTGCAGGTCATAAGCCTTTCTGGCCTGAACCACGTCATTAGAGTCCGGAAGACAAGTCCAGTTGTGTAGTTTAGTCCTGTAGTTGAAGTCATTGACTTGCTGTTGGCATTTCTTGGCTAGCTCCAGATTCAGCATGTCCACTGGGAGGTGGAATTTAGTCTTGGACTTGTTGAAGTCCTTCTTGTACAGAACATCACTTGCAATCTTGGCTGAGTTCAAAGCCAGCACGATAAGCGGGTCGTCCTGACAGCTCAGCGCTCCGATGTGGTGACCGACCTGCTTGCGGTACCCTGTCTTGTATTTATACTTTGTAGACAGACAGAAAACAAAAATGAAAAAGAAATGTTAAGGACCCAAGCATAAGGATGGCAGAAATACACTGGGTTATATGTTACATACATCACTGATGATTTCTCTTCCGTGTTTAGCAGCGATGATGGAAACAGCGTCAGGCTTCATGTCGTAGCCTTTCCTGAACATTTCCTCCACAGCTTCTCTGTAATTTTTCTGCAAAGGAATAAGACCGTAAAGCGCACCATAAACGTGCAAAGATATATTAGGTAAAATTGCTTTAGGTTTGACATACCCTGCTGATGTTGTAAGCGTTAGCTTTGGAAAGCAGCAGCTCAGGAAGGTCTGGGGTCACATGGTTTTTTATTTTTTCTGCCTCCCATGCAGCAATGTAGTTTTTCTGTTGAGAAAAATTAAGGAAAGGTCAAATTAGAAAACCGAGTAGCTCTTCATCAAATAATCAAACAAAATTCAAATGTGCACCTCTGTACCTTATTGATGATCTCAGCATTTGCTTTGGCTAGCACCATGGGCATGGCCATCATGTCAGATTTGTATTTAAATGTGTCTGGTTTCTGCTTGTAGAGACGGTCGCTCAGAATTTTGGCAGCATTTTTGGCTTTCACTACATCCAGGGAACCAATGGGTATCCATCCGACTCCAATGACTTCATCTCTGTCAGCTTTGTACACAGCCTGAGCGAGATAGTTTAAGTATTAGAAAGTAGATAAAAAAGTTGAACGATATTGTAAGCTAAATATGTGATAGAGGGACTCACATCACTCTGGAGATCATATGCTTTTCTGGCCTGCACCACATCGTTAGAGTCCGGCAGACATGTCCACTGGTGCAGGCGAGTCCTGTAGTTGAAGTCATTGACTTGCTGCTGGCATTTCTTGGCTAGTTCAAGATTCAGCATGTCAACTGGGAGGTTGAATTTGGTCTTGGACTTATTGAAGTCCTTCTTGTACAGAGCATCACTGGCGATCCTGGCTGAGTTCAGAGCCAGCACCAGCAGAGGGTCATCCTGGACGCTGCGAGCACCGATGTGGTGACCAACCTGCCTCCTGTATCCTGTCTTATACTTGTACTAATAGGACCAGAAAAAAACATTTTTTTTTTATGTGAACAAAGATCACATTTGATTTCAATATAAGTCAACTAAATAGACAAAGATTACGGTCTGTGGGACTCACATCACTGATGATATCCCTTGAGGCCTTGGCAGCCTTGACAGAAATTGCATCTGGAGGAAGGAAGTAGCCCTTGCTGATGGTCTCCTCAAAACCTTGTCTGTATAGTTTCTGAATAAAAAAGAAAGAAAAAATATGAAGGGATTTAAAAAAAAAACTGAATTCTATTATATCTACTTGAATGCTTGTATTCGTTGTATACCCTGATTCTGAGAAAGTTTTCATGCAGAGAATCAACTACAGAATAACCTTTTTCTTTCTCTCTCTACAGTGAATAGGGACGATATATGTTATATGCATACAAAACCTTATGCGATTCCCTTTGGTTCGGAGGTGAACTGGTGGGACATATAATTGAGCTTTTTTCAACATGTTAAATATCTTATGCCTTCTGTTTTCTTTATCACTCTTGTTCCCAAACTCCACCCTCCCTTGATTTGGAAAAAGTCTGTAGTTCCATCGATGTGAAAGTTAACGCACCTTTCACTTCTTTTATAGGAAAACGAGTCCTGACATATAAAAGGCAACTAGATCTGTGCCCATCTTTTACCCTGGCATTAAACACAGCACCGGATGTTTATTGGTTCCCATGTGTAGGTGTTTAACCTTCTCATGAAAGACTTTTACAGCCTGTTTGTAAAAAGGAGTGCTACCTGAGTCATTCATCCCTGCTGCCATCAGACTTTAGAATACGGCACTATAACTGCAATAAATAATCTGCAATCACTATTTAATACCCTGTACAATAAGCTTTGCAGTAAAACCCCTGTGCAATAACCGGTGCAATAATCCTGTTATATGTGGATGCACTGTATATACCCTTTTCCGCTTTTTGGCATCTTCTTTTGACTATTGAGCCGATGTGACAAATGAATTTCAAATGAATTTCTCCACTGTGGGATCAATAAAGGTTGTTGTATCCTATATCATATCTCTTAAAATGTAATTCTCCATTGTTGTAATGTGCAGTACTTTGGTCAACTATTTTTTGCTTTTAAATGTGCTTTATAAATAAGTTGAATATGGATTTGTCTCTCCTTTAATTAGGTTTTTGTATATAAGATTCACACTTCAGTTGGGTCTCTTCCGTTCGCAGAGAAGAAATGAACAAATCATTGTTTTAGTTGCATCACTAAACTACAGGTTTGAAGGTTGATTTAAAAAACATCTTTTTATCTAAAAATAAAACCCATGTTTAGAGTCTATGTGTCAAAGTTTCAAGGCAGGATAAACTTAAATGCTAAATAAGTGATACATTTTTCAAAGTTTGTAGAAATGATCGCAAACACATGACTGACTATTAAAGCCACAATAAAATAGCCTTTGTCTGTATTATTTATTGAATCAAATGGAGGATTAAAGATTTTTTTATTTGCAAAATAAATTTTACTAACCTTGCTCATGTTGATGGCATTTTGCTGGGAGAGGATGATCTCAGGAGTATCGGGTTTGATGTGCAGTTTGGTCTTTTCGTTCTCCCAAGCCTCAGTGTAGAGGCGCTAGCAACACAGAACACAAAAACAACATTTATTTAAAGCAAAAGAGGCAAATAAAAATGGTTCTAGAAATCTATGCGAAAATCAGTATTTACCTTGTTCATCGTCACTGTGTTGTTCTTAGCCAGAACAAGGTTCATGGCATCAATGGGACTGGTGAATTTCACTGTGCTGGGGTGCTGGCGATACTGCCTTTCACTCAAAACCTCTCCAGCCTTCTTGACTTTCTCCACATCCAGCGAACCAATGGGGACCCAGCCCAGACCCTGGAGCCACTTCAGGTCTGCTTTGTAGACGGCCTGGAAAGCATAGAGGGTTTTAATGGAGGGAGTTTTATAATGAAATGTGATACACGCATGAAAATAACTAAGGATCACATACATCACTCTGTAGGTCATATGCATGCCTGGCCTGGACAACGTCGTTAGAGTCAGGCAGACATGTCCACTGGTGAAGGTGAGTCCTGTAGTTGAAGTCATTGACTTGCTGCTGGCATTTCTTGGCTAGTTCAAGATTCAACATGTCCACTGGAAGGTTGAACTTGGTCTTGGACTTGTTGAAGTCCTTCTTGTACAGAGCGTCACTGGCGATCCTGGCTGAGTTCAAAGCCAGCACCAGCAGAGGGTCGTCCTGGATGCTGCGGGCACCGATGTGGTGACCGACCTGCTTCCTGTATCCAGTCTTGTACTTGTACTGGTTGAAAGTAAATCAAAAATAAATTTTAGCAAATGCGATGATCCATTTAGAGTAGTACCTCTGATATATAGAGTATAGTGAAATTGTTGTTTGTTGCTTACATCACTGGCAATGTCTCTGGATGCTCTGGCTGCAATGATGGAAATGGCATCGCCGCGCAAGTCGTAGCCCTTCTTTTTGGCATCTTCGTTCGCCTGTTTGTATTTTTTCTAAGAAAACAAGCAAATGATGCATGTTTGTGTTTTTCCTTTACTTAAAGAGAAGCAGGAAGTTGTTAACCCCTTATGTTTTGTGAACATACAATGCTATAGTTGACATTGTTTGCTTTTGCTAGAAGAACATCCATTGCGTCAGGCATAACATGGATCTTTGTCTTCTCGTTCTCCCAGGCTTCGATGTATGCTTTCTGTGATTATAAAAACCAATAGTATGAAAGGACAGTTAAGAGGTAAATTATGCATGACATGGTAGAATAATTCTCATGTGATTTTTACCAACAGCGGTTTGGTTTCCTACCTTGTTCATAACCTGAGCATTTGCTTTAGCTAGTGCCAAGGGCATATCCTCAGTGGTGCTCTTGAATCTAAAGTTGCTTGGGTGCTGTCGGTACTTCCTTTCACTCAGGACCTCACCAGCTTTCTTTACTTTCTCAACATCCAGGGAACCTATTGGCACCCATCCAACGCCCTGCAACATCTTCAAATCCTCCTTGTACACAGCCTGGACAATACAAAAATAAATTACCATAAGTAAAAAACTAATTGATTGTTACACAAACAGACAAACCTCCATGTTTCCCTCCATCCATCTATCTATGAATAGTACTCACATCACTCTGTAGGTCATATGCGTGCCTGGCCTGAACAACGTCATTAGAGTCTGGCAGACATGTCCACTGGTGCAGGTGAGTCCTGTAGTTGAAGTCATTGACTTGCTGCTGGCATTTCTTGGCTAGTTCAAGATTCAACATGTCCACTGGAAGGTTGAACTTGGTCTTGGACTTGTTGAAGTCCTTCTTGTACAGAGCGTCACTGGCGATCCTGGCTGAGTTCAGAGCCAGCATCAGCAGAGGGTCGTCCTGGATGCTGCGAGCACCGATGTGGTGACCAACCTGCTTCCTGTATCCAGTCTTGTACTTGTACTAGTAGAAAGTAATGCAAAAAATATATATGCTCAACATAAACAAAATGTCTAATTCTGAGGGATAAAATAAAAATGGTTGCTCTTGGCAGCTTACATCACTGGCAATGTCTCTGGATGTTCTTGCTGCGATGATTGATATGGCATCATTTCGCAGGTCATAGCCCTTCTTCTTAGCATCTTCATTTGCTTGTTTGTAATTTTTCTGAAAATTAAATGTAAAATGTCCAAATGAAATGTACTCTGACAAATTTCGTAGTTTAATTAAGACCACTTGATTAAACGCATGTTAATGATCTAAGCATACATACCAAGCTGTTATGGTAGCTGTTTGCTTTAGCAAGAATAACATCCATGGCATCTGGCATCACATGGATCTTTGTCTTCTCATTGTCCCAGGCTTCAATGTAGGATTTCTGCAAATATGGGTATGCAAGAGTAATTTATGTTTCAATACAGAAGAGAGACACAAAATGATAAACAGTTTGATCTGTAATAAAGACACCATAACATTTGATGAATAAGCCACCTTGTTCATAATCTGGTTATTAGCCTTAGCCAGCGCCATTGGCATGTCCTCGGTAGTGCTCTTGAACTTATAGTTGCTCGGATGCTGACGATATTTCTTTTCACTCAGGATTTCACCAGCTTTTTTAACCTTTTCCACATCCAGAGAACCTATAGGCACCCATCCAACGCCCTGCAACATCTTCAAATCCTCCTTGTACACAGCCTGGACGATACAAAAATAAAATCCCATAAGTAAAAAACAAATTGATTGTTACACAAACAGACAAACCTCCATGCTTCCCTCCATCCATCTATCTATGAATAGTACTCACATCACTCTGTAGGTCATATGCATGCCTGGCCTGAACAACATCATTTGAGTCTGGCAGACATGTCCACTGGTGCAGGCGAGTCCTATAGTTGAAGTCATTGACTTGCTGCTGGCATTTCTTGGCTAGTTCAAGATTCAACATGTCCACTGGGAGGTTGAACTTGGTTTTGGACTTGTTAAAGTCCTTCTTGTACAGAGCGTCACTGGCGATCCTGGCTGAGTTCAGAGCCAGCATCAGCAGAGGGTCGTCCTGGATGCTGCGGGCACCGATGTGGTGACCGACCTGCTTCCTGTATCCAGTCTTGTACTTGTACTGTCAAAGAAGAACAACACTTACTAAAATGTCAGAGATATAAAAGAATGTGTTACTTAAACATCAGTTACCAAACCACTTCCTTTTTAGAGTAATTTATCTATGAGGATTGAGTGATAAGTGTGGGAACTTACATCACTTGCAATATCCCTGGAGGCCCTTGCTGCAATAATGGAAATAGCATCATTTCGCAGATCATATCCCTTCTTCTTTGCCTCTTCATTTGCCTGCTTGTACATTTTCTGTATATACAAATAGGAGAAATTACTTCAGTCATCTCATTATACATATAGAGTGGTGGTTCAACTTTTGGAGAATAATGTTTAGAATGTATAAGAGTATTTACCTCGCTGTAGATGACTTTGTTTGCTTTAGCCAGAAGGATATCCATGGCATCAGGCATGACATGGATGCTGGTCTTATCCTTTTCCCAGGCTTCAATATAGGCTTTCTGTAAAGATACAAAATTTAGTTAAAGCTGGGAAAAAAAGCTTTCCAAAAGAAATTCACTATGAAATGCATCTGTGAAGATTCTCAGTCTTCCAGGTCATTTTCAAGCTTAAACAAGTTCAGTTAAGGCAACTAGACGTGCAGTTTTGATGAAGATGTTTTGCCACTCATCCAAGAGGCTTTTTCAGTTATAACTAGTGGTGGGGAGCACAGAGATTATTATACTGTAGGTGTAACAATCTGTAACTGTGATCTTCCCAGATGGGCTTTTTTTTAAACCAACAAGAGGTCTGCTGGGCGTGCTTTGGTGGCGCAGTGGTTAGCGCACACAACCCATGTATTGTGGCCTTGGTCCTCGACGTGGGCGACCCGGATTCGAGTCAGGCCTGCGGTCCTTTCCCTCATGTCTCTTCCTGTCTCTCATGCCCCCTTTCCTGTCAGCCTACTGTCAATAAAAACAAGCCACTAGAGTTCTGCTGAGAGGGAAGAAAAAAGAAGAAGGTACATCATCATTCCAGGTGTTGCTGGAGTCTCCAAAGGAGGAGGATTTCAACCAGCACCGGATCCCTGTGCACTTCAAACCCGGCAACACCCTGAGAAAAAAAAACTGGTTCACCTCAAAAATAAGACACCCACAACCTGGTTTACGCTGTTCACTGCAGTGAAGAGAGCAAAGACCTGTACATTGGTGAGACCAAGCAACCGCTACAAAAGTGCATGGCTCAAGACAGGAGGGCCAACTCCTCAGGACAGGAGTCAGCTGTTCTCTAACACCTGAAGGATGAAGGACATTCGTTTGAGGACAACAATGTCCACATTCTTGGCAAGGAAGAAAGATGGTTTGAGAGAGGGGTTAAGGAAGCCATCTTTGTTAACCTGGAAAAACTCTCATCAGAGGAGGTGGTCTTAGACATAGCCTTAGACATAACGTTTAACCTGCTTGCAAAGCACTTTTAGGAAACAATACCCAGAAGATTCACCTCTCATCTGCACTCAAGTGGCTCACACAATAATGAGGCATGTGACCAAAACCACTCTGACGAGGGAGTTAACGACCCATCAGAACCCCTCTAATGACCATTAACACAGCCAGGTGACCTCCATGGCCAATCCAGTCGGAGGGATCAGAGCCACATTTTGTTCCCCCAAATTCTTTGTTACGCCTACAGTATATTCATGATAGGCGAAACATCTTCTTGAAAACTTCAGGTCCGGTAGCCTATACTGAACTTTTTAAAAAAACCTTGAAATGTATTATATCTAAACTTCAGTGTGGCTTAGCCCAAATTAGCTACATGGAGTTTAATTGTTATTATTAAAGAAAAAACAATAAATAAAACAACGTGTCTTACTAGGGGAATAAAACCTGAACTAATATGTCAAACAACATGCCATACTTTTAAATAGATGATGCATGCATTTATGTACGATTTTCTTCTAAGAAAGTTGTGTAAATTAGGGGCCAATTTAAGAGATTCAGCTTTCAATAAAAATATATATATATATATATATATATATATATATATATATATATATATATATATATATATATATATAAAAACACTGTCCACGAAAATTCCACATTTGAAGAGAATAGTCAAAAGGTTTTCCTTTATACCTTATTAATAACCTGGTTATTAGCCTTAGCCAGCACCATTGGCATGTCCTCAGTTGTGCTCTTGAATTTATAGTTGCTGGGATGCTGACGATATTTCTTTTCACTCAGGATTTCACCAGCTTTTTTAACCTTCTCAACATCCAGCGAACCAATAGGCACCCATCCAACACCCTGCAACATCCTGAAATCCTCCTTGTACACAGCCTGAGAAGAAATTCATACTCTAGTGATAAGTCTTCAAAAACATATGGTTGCAGTTACGTATTTTTGAAAAAAAAAGAATTCATACTTACGTCACTCTGCAAGCTGTAAGCATGCCTGGCCTGGACTACATCGTTTGAATCTGGCAGACATGTCCAGTTGTGCAGGCGTGTTATATAATTGGTGTGGTTGACCTGAATCTGGTTCTTCTTGGCCAGTTCAAAGGCCAGCATGTCCACCGGGAGGTGGAACTTTGTCTTAGACTGATTGAAGTCTTTCTTGTAAAGAGCATCACTGGCGATCTTGGCTGAGTTCAGAGCCAGCATGAGTAGAGGGTCATCTTGGATGCTGAGGGCTCCAATGTGGTGACCGACCTGCTTCCTGTATCCAGTCTTGTACTTGTACTGTGCAGGGAGCATACAGCGACTGAGTTTGTAATTTCTACACAACGAAAAAAGCAAAAAGTTACTTTGAAGATATAGAAACAAACACTTACGTCACTAGCAATAATAGTCGAGGCCTTGGCAGCCTGAATTGCAATGGCATCAGAGCGAAGGTGATGGCCCTTCTTCTTGGCTAGTTCATTGTCCAGTTTGTATAGTTTCTAAAATGAGAAATATTTTCCACAACTTTAAATTGGATTGCATAAAACATGGCAGGAATTGCATCGATTGCAAATAATGAAAGATGAGTTACAATGTGTAGGAAATGAATGTGTTATACCTCACTGTAGTTTTTCTTGTTATCCCTGGCTAGAACAACATCCATTGCATCTGGCATTATATGGATAGAAGTCTTGTCTTTTTCCCAAGCTTTGGTGTAGGATTTCTAAAACAAAATAGCAAATACTTGGCTTCAATAAAGACTCAAAAGAATTTGGTCAATGAATCAAAAGTGCTGTAAAGTACCTTGTCCATGATTTGGTTATTGGCAGTGGCCAAAACCAGGTCCATAGAGTGCATGTCTTTTACAAATTTGAAGTTGCTGGGATGCTTTCTGTAAAGTTTTTCATTGAGAACCAACCCAGCAGTTTTGGCTTTCTCAACATCAAGGGAACCAATCGGAACCCATCCTACTCCCTTGATGTAGTTCTCATACTCCTTCTTGTACTCGTTCTAGACAACACAGGGAATAGTCAGTTATATGACAAAAACCTACAACACAGTCAACAAATTTAGATTACAACTTTGCACATACATCACTGGCGATAAACTGCATGTTACGAGCAAGCTCCAGGCCCATAGCATCTGGCAGGAGGGCATTAGTATGATGGATCTGCCTGTAGCCAGCAAATGTCTGCACTTTTGTGGCATTTTTAGCGTGAGCCACGCTCATCATGTCCACAGGGGTGTGGTACTTCAGCTTTGCTTTATGGTAGTCCTGCTTGTAGAGCTTTTCACTCTGTATTTTTGCCACATTCATGTAGTGAACCAGTAGAGGATCGTCCTGGAGGCTGCGGAAGCCAACATGGTGGCCTCTGGCCTTCTCATAAGCCAGCTTGTACTTGTACTGTAAGGGTGGAAAATAATTTTAATCACACAGCCCACACAGAGGTGTGCTTTTTTATCTTATAAATGGACATTTTGATGACTTACATTGCTGGCGATAGTAGTACCAGACTTGGCAGCCACAATGGGAATTGCATCAGCTTTGAGGTTGTAGCCTTTATTAGCCATCTCCACTACACTGGCTTTGTAAAGTTTCTGTTAAAAAACAATCCAAATAAGGTAACAAAGCATATAAACTTCATTCAGGTAAAATGTATTACTTTAAATGTAATTTTAGATGACAATTCGTACATTGCTCATATTGAGGGCATTGGCTTTTGCCAGGACAATCTCAGGAGCATCTGGCATGACATGGACTTTCAGTTTGTCCTTCTCCCATGCTTCAGTATAGGCTTTCTGTAGAAAAAAAGAAGAAAACAATAAATAATTTCTATATAAGAAACTATAACATGAGATTTTTATTGGTCAGAGTTTAAATAAATAATAAGGCACCTTGTTCATGATCTGATTATTGGCAGTAGACAGAGCCATGTCCATTGAATCCATTAATTTGCTGTACTTATATTTAGACGGATGGGTACGATACTTCCTCTCGCTGAGAATCTCACCGCCGACTTTGGCCGTTTCCACTGAAAGTGAACCGATTGGGACCCATCCTATACCTTTAATATAGTTGTTCCATTCAGCCTTGTAATTCCACTACAAGCAAACACAACATGTCAGGAATTGATCTTTTACTCTCTAATCCATCCACGGCTTTTGTACAGTGAACATGTTTTGGATTGCAAACTCACATCACTAGCAATGGTATTCATGTTACGTGCAAGCTCCAGGCCCATAGCATCTGGGAGGAGAGTATTAGCGTGCTGGATGTTCCTGTAGCCAGCAAATGTCTGCACTTTTGTGGCATGTTTAGCGTGAGCCAGGCTCATCATGTCCACTGGGGTGTGGTACTTCAGCTTTGCTTTGTGGTAGTCTTGCTTGTAGAGCTTTTCACTCTGTATTTTTGCCACATTCATGTAGTGAACCAGTAGAGGATCGTCCTGGAGGCTGCGGAAGCCAACATGGTGGCCTCTGGCCTTCTCATAAGCCAGCATGTACTTGTACTGGTAAAAAAAAAAAAGAAAAGAAGAGAAAATAGAGTTGTTTGTAATGCATGAACGCTTGTTGCAAACTGTATTTCTGATCTGGTAAATTAGTTTGATTTTAACTTACATTACTGGCAATGGTTGTACCAGACTTGGCCGCCACAATTGGAATTGCATCAGCTTTGAGGTTGTAGCCTTTATTTGCCATCTCCACAACACCGGCTTTGTAAAGTTTCTAGCGAAAAGAAATTAGATTGATACAAGCTATAAAAAGAAACAATAACTGTAGATCTAGCTTAAATTTGCTAATATTTTTCAGCATCAGTTTCCTTTGTAAATAAATGGCTTACCTCGCTCAAAGTCAGAGCATTTGCCTTAGCCAGGACGATTTCTGGAGAATCTGGCATAATGTGGATGGTCAACTTGTCTTTCTCCCAGGCAGCAGTGTACGCTTTCTAAACATTAAAAAACATAAACATGTTTGTTTGTTTTTTTGTTTTAAAGCATGCATTTGGTCACATCTCAGATTTTAAACCTTGTTCATGATCTGGTTGTTCGCAGTAGCCAGAGCCAAATCCATAGAGTCCATCAGTTTGCTAAATTTGAAGTTAGACGGATGCTGTCGGTACTTCCTCTCGCTTTGAATTTCACCGCCCACTTTAGCAGTTTCAACTGCGAGGGACCCAATTGGTACCCATCCGATACCTCTGACATAGTTGTTCCAGTCAGATTTGTAATTAACCTGAAAAAAAGAGCAAACGGCATTAATTTATTTGGAAATTAAAAATTGTATATATAAGGAATAAGTTGTCCATATGACTAATACTAACATCACTGGAGATTATATTCATATTTCTGCACAGCTGCAGCTGCATGTTGTCAGGTAGGAGCAGGTGGTTGTGAGGGATCTTCTTGTATCCAGCCATGGTCTGAACAGCAGAGGCCTGCTTGGCATGGATCAAACTCATCATGTCCACTGGGGTGTGGTACTTCAGCTTTGCTTTGTGGTAGTCCTTCTTGTAAAACTTGTCACTCTGTATTTTTGCCACATTCATGTAGTGAACCAGGAGAGGATCGTCCTGCAGGCTGCGGAAGCCCACATGGTGGCCTCTTTCCTTTTCATACTCCTTCTTGTATTGAACCTAAATGAAGAAGTTACATGTAAAGTGCTATTAAAGCCTTTTTAAAACAATAGATTTATGCTAGAATGAATATAGAAAATACAAACATTGCTGGCGATATGTCTGCCCTGCTTGGCATGGAGAATAGGAATAGCATCAGACTTCATGTCGTATCCCTTGGCAATATCTTCCAGCCATTGCTGCCTGTATCGATTCTGTAAACAGAAAAAGTGTCACAAAGATGTACAAACAGCATTCTGTTAACCCTGCGGCGTTACTTTGGGTGCGCAAACCTCGCTGATGGTTTGGGCGTTGAATTTAGCCTGGAGGAACTCCGGGCTGTCGGCTGGCAGATGATAGGTGTGCATGAATTTTTCCCCAGATGCTTTGTATGCAATCTACAGGGAGGAAAATAAAGGGTTTGTTTAAAGCTAGTTTGGTCAAGTTCTGAAAGAACTGACATAAGGAATAAATAGCTCATACTTTGTCCATTTGCTTTGTGTTGGCCAGAGCCAGAGACATGTTCATGTCGTCAGTCTGGCTGGTGTACTTCAAGGAGCTTGGATGCTGGCGGTAGCCTCTGTCATCTAAGGCAGCTCTGGCACTCCTGGCTTTCTCAACATCTAAAGAACCGATGGGTATCCAGCCTGTACCTTTGACATAGTTGTTGTATTCTGATTTGTAGACATTCTGCAAAGGAAAACAAACAAGAAAAATCAGAGGTCTTATGTCCCTCTAACCACAGGATGTAACGTCATATTGAAGAGTAACATACGTCACTCTGAATCTCCATCATGTTGCGGCACAGCTGCAGGTGCATGTTGTCGGGGAGAAGGAGGAAGCTGTGAGGGACTTTCCTGTATCCAGCCATGGTCTGAACGGTAGAGGCCTGCTTTGCATGAATCACGCTCAGCATGTCCACTGGGGTGTGGTACTTCAGCTTGGACTTGTGGTAGTCCTTCTTGTAGTTCTTTTCACTCTGCATCTTGGCCACTTGCATGTAATGCACCAGCAGAGGGTCGTCATGAAGGCTGCGGAAACCAACATGATGGCCTCTGGCCTTCTCGTAAGCCAGCTTATATTTATACTAAGAAAATAAATATAGTATCATTAATAAAGTTGTGATGATATCACAAAACACCAGAATATTGAATTATTTGAGGAAAATCAGGAACTTACATTACTGGCAATGTCTCTTGATGATTTGGCAGCTACTATTGGAATGGCGTCTTGCTTCATGTGATGTCCCTTAAGGATGTCTTGGCGATGTGCATAGGTGTAATGGTTCTACATATACAACACAACAGGACATGTTACCATCATAGTCACAATTTTCTTTCTGTTTGTTGAATTGTGGATTCATGAAAACAGGGAAACACTGACCTGGCTAATGTTGACAGCGTTGTACCTGGCTTGCATCAGTTCAGGGGTATCAGATGGGAGGTGATAAGTGTGCATGAACTTCTCTCCACTTGCTTTATATTCCTTCTGCAATGAGTTAAACAAAGAGCTTCGGTTATGGATATCTTACAAGACAATTGCAGCTTAAAATGAAGAGATGAGATTGCCCTCTTCTTACCATGTTCATTATCTTTGCATTGGTTTTAGCCAGCTCCATGTTCATGGAGTCCATGTCGCTGGTGTATTTGAGAGTAGAAGGATGCTGCCTGTATTTTCTCTCATCCAGAGCAGCTGCTGCCGCCTTGGCTTTTTCCACATCCAGGGAACCGATCGGAATCCAGCCTGTTCCTTTTACGGAGGTCTCATAATCCATTTTATAATTGTTCTGCAATAATATGAGAAACCAAAACATTATTTGAGTTTTGGTGGATTTCACATCAAAAGCATTTCTGTGATCTCGTAAACTTACGTCGCTGGCATTATAGTTCATGGTGCGAGCAAGCTGAAGATTCATTGCATCAGGCAGGAGAAAATAATTGTGATGGTGCTGCTTGTAGCCAGCAAATGTCTGCACTTTTGTGGCATGTTTAGCATGAGCCATGCTCATCATGTCCACTGGGGTGTGGTACTTCAGCTTTGCTTTGTGGTAGTCCTTCTTGTAAAGTTTGTCGCTCTGTATTTTTGCCACATTCATGTAGTGAACCAGTAGAGGATCGTCCTGCAGGCTGCGGAAGCCAACATGGTGGCCTCTTTCCTTCTCATACGCCTTTTTGTACTGGACCTGAGCATAAAAGCACAAACTAGATTTTAGGAAATTGTGTGTTGTTGGGAAAAAAAGCCAGTATATCAAAAGTATGGTGTATTAAATCCCTTTTCAGATGACTTACGTTGCTGGCAGCATGTCTGGCTGCTTTGGCAGCAACAATCGGGATAGCATCCAGCCTCATGTCGTAACCTTTAGCGATTGTCTCCTCCCAAGCGTACTTGTAGAAGTTCTGAAATTTTAAATTGAAACATTAATAAAGGTCAAAGAAACTACAAGAATACTAAAACAAGCAAGAACATGTTTAAAATGTATACATTGGTAAACTTTGTGCTTATTAAACCATTGAATAATTTTTTTGTAGCTTTGTTGTTAAGGTCAATGTCTGATTATGGTTTTTTTTTTCCAAATGTGCACAAAACAAAAACGCAGATTACAAATTAAGTATGGATTCATCCAGCAGGGTTTTACAACATTTAATTAATTAATTAGATCCCATGAGTGTAAATTTTGATATGATGCCAACTAGCAACATTAGGCACCTAAGGAATAACATTTTAAATCTTAATGTATTGTTTCATTTATTACTTTTTACTCCAACGAGACTTATGAATTTTGTCAAAACATGCTTTTGAACAAGCACTACTTTTTATCTGGAGAAAGTGGCCTTACTACAGAGGCCTACAGACTGCTGGCTCTTTTTTTTTTGCAATAAGAACAGTATTAAAATTGAACGGTGTTAGAAATCGATCTACAACATGTGCTGTTAAAAAATCATTGCATTTTCATTATTGAAGTGTTCTATATTTAGCAAAATGCTGCAAAATGACTTTGCTGCACCTTTCCATAATCTGGTTGCTTATCAATAACAAATCAGTGGCAGAAATAATAATAAAAACAATTATTTTGAAAACCACTGTTTTAATATCATCCACTGTTTTCAATTTAGCAACAGTTTTTGAAAAATCACTTACCGGTATTAGGGTATGAAATAACATTACTTGTTAAAAATTATATATTTTTTAAGTTATCATTAGATGAAATTTAGCTAATTAAAAAAATTCATTTAATTTACATTATATTCACATAACATATATTAGTATTTCTTACTCATTTCCACTCTTGGCCTGAAGCTAAAAAGCTTACACAAAAAAAGGCTTGGTTTGCTTAATTTTTATGGATTCTAGGTGTCAGAGTTTTTGTTTGCAGGGTCAACAGTGAAGTCGTGTTTTAAGACTGTTGTCTGATTGGGAAAGGGCCCTGGGTTTGTATGTTCCCCTTTGAGTATGACTCTATTTCTGTGCAGAGAAAGGCCTTTAAATAGCTCTAAACAGAGATAGATAGATGTATTTTAATGCACCACCTTGCTGATGTTGTAGGCATTGCACTTGGCTTGGAGGAACTCTGGAGCATCAGGAGGCAGAGAGTACTTTTGATGGACCTCCTCGAGACCTCTCTTGTAGAAAAGCTGAGGAGCAAAAAGACGTTTAAAAAAATAAACAAATGTTCCTTTTATTATACATCACAGCATTTCATGGACAGTAGACTCACATCACTCCTCTGAAGCTGATTGACTTTAGCCTGCAGCATTATAGGATGGTCATCTATAGCTGTGAACGGGATGGTGTCCGGGTGCTGCCGGTATTTTCTCTAAACGAAGTAAAGAAAAAGATGCATTTAATTAAATTCTTTCGCAAGGTACCAAATATAAACAGGAAGAGGAGGCAGTTGAAAACACGTACCTCGTCGAGAATCTCAGCTGCTTTCTTTGCCTTTTCTACATCCATGGAGCCATATGGCACCCATGGGGAGCCTTTAACATAGTTGTTGTATTCAGCCTTATACTCGTTCTTTGATTAAGGAAACAAAACAGAGATTTAGCTGCATCATAAAGAGACATATCTTACATTATAAATAAAAACAGTTTCTTGTAAAACCTGTCCACTTACATCACTCTGGATGCTGTTGGCTCTCTTGGCCAGGTCCAGCAGCACACTGTCATAAGGCATAAAGTAGTTGGGGCTGATCTTCCTGTAGCCAGCCATGCTGGAAATTGCTTGGGACTTTTTGGCCAAAGTGACAGACATCATATCTAGTGGCGTATGGTACTTGGTCTTGATTTTTTCATAGTCCTTCTTATATTCACGCTGTGAATAAATTGTGGATTTTGTTTAAGCATGATTTCTTTTTTCATTAGAATCAGTTTTAGCTCATTGATTTTAAATGAATGACTTACATCACTCTGGATTTTGGCCACATGAACCGAGTGCAAGATCTTGGGGTCGTCATTAATAGAAAGGGCTCCGATCATCTGTCCCCTGTTCTTTTCATACTCCTTTTTGTACTTAACCTGAAAGGGGAACAAATAAGTGTTAAAAAGAGAATGATAATACATAAAGATATAATTTTAAAATGGAAAAATACAGATAAAAAATTGCAAAAACTGATAGGGGTTAATGCTGTAGCGTACTTACATCACTGGCAATGTTTGTGTGAGCACGGGCAGCAAGGATTGGGATGGCGTCACCCTTAATTTCAAACTTCTTTGCTTTAGTTTTCTCCCAGTCATATTTATAACAACTCTGCAAGGAGAATATACATTCAAGAAACTAAATAATTACCACTATAAAAAGTGATTCAGTTGTAGAGATTTGTAGGAATTACTTACGTCACTCAGGTTAAAGGCATTGACTCTGGACTGGATGAAGAAGGGATAATCTGGGGGCAGATTACACTTAAACTTTGTCTCTTCAAACTTTGCCTTGTAGTTTAGCTGCAAGAGAAAAATGCATAAATTAAAACCTAACCTACACTCCATCGGTCTGGTTATAAAAAGCATAATTTAATTCTCCCACCATTGGAGGGCAGTAAAGCACTGGACACAGATTGTCAAACTCTCTTCCTTACCAAGGCCTCCTATCTGATGACAGAGCCAATGCTTGTTTCTATTTATACTGCTGAGAAATGGCTCTCTAGTTTCCATGGAGCCCATAGAAAGACATCTGGGCTACATGGATGACTGCATACAGTTAACGGTGATCCACATTAATAGGAGAGTTGGATCTAAGGCTCTAGTTGATGATATTTTAAGATATTTAATCAAACATTTAACCATAAATAAACAAAGCATCTTACAGATACATCTCAGTTCATTAGATATGGGCTTCAGCAGAGTGTGTCAGTCCCATTAAAACTCCCTCTGAAAAATGCTAACCTTTACATCTTAAGTCATTTTTTCTTAAAATACATAATTTTTTTTTCTTGAATGGAACAAGACAATTTACATTTATAATAACAAAAAACAACAGCAGTCTTTTATGCACTACAAAAAATATAAATCTAACTAAGTCATTTTTTTATTGAGGGGGAAAGGGGGAAACTTTGCCAATGAAACAAGACAATTTAGATTTAAAATAAAAAACAAAACAAAACATTGCATTGCATTGTCTCATATTATCTAATTATTTTATTTTAAGAGTAAAAATACTCATTCAATTGGCAAATTATCTTATTTACCTGCTTAAATTAAGGATAAATACATTTGATTTAACAAATTTTTCTCTTCTTTAGAACGTTTTGCAGTGACATACTCCACATTAATTCCACATTTCTTGGAAAAAAATCGAAATCTAGATACGTAAGTAATGTTTTCTTAAAATAAGTAAATTTTTCTTGAATTGAGAAGGTAAAAATAGACATTTTGCCAATGGAACCAGACAATTTACATTAAAAATAAGAAAAAAAACAATTTCATTGTCTTATTTCAAGTGCATATTATCTAGTTCCCTTATTTAAAGAGTAAAAATACTTTATTCCATTGGCAAACTATGTCATTTACCTACTCAAATTAAGGATAAATACACTTAATTTAAGAAATTTTTACTTATTTCTAGATCGTTTTTCCAGTGTAATATTCTAATCTAAGAAATTAAATATGTTTTCATTAGCGGTAAGTAGAAAGGGAACATAATCAAAAGAAAGGCTTTGAAGATGGGGAAAAATAATCTATCTAATGTGCTTTGTACTGTATTTTATTTGCATTACAATTTTGTGAAGCAGTTTGTGACCTCTATGTCTGTGAAAGGAATATAAATAAACATTACTTACTTACTTTACTCTTTCTAATAACACTTTAGTTTACTGAGATACTAACATGAAAGAAAAGAGATTAGGGCAGTTCATAATAAAAAAATCAGTCTATGAACCAAATATTAGGTCAGTTATATTAAAAAGATTGTAAAGCATTTTAATACAATCTCAGTGGGAGTACAGGTACGTATGTAAGCCTTTCTTTATATAGAAATTTATTCAGAATCACCAACATTAACATGAGTTTAATCCCCATATGAATGCATGTATAATTGGCTCTGTTATGATGTCAGTAAATAAACTGTAATGTGCAGAATGATCCAACATGATACATACGTCACTTAGCTGCTTGGCGTTGATGGCTGCTTGGACGAGGACTGGCGAATCCACGACTTGTGTAAACTTCACTGTGTCTGGATGTTGACGGTAAACTTTCTGTAAACCACCAAATAAAAACACAATGTGTCACACATACAACTATGTAGACCAGAGCGTGTTCCAGAGCTCTGATGCACTTCACTGGACAATAACTACTACTTACATCACTGCACTGCTGAAGCTTCTTCACAGCCTCGTATTCAGGTGTAATAGTTTGAGGAAAGAAGCATCTCGTCTTTATGTCTTCATAATCCGCTTTATATGTATGCTGGGGGAAAAATGTGCAGTTTAGAGCTATTTTCTGTGAATGAATTAAAGAAATAATAATTTTAAGAAACCTGAACAGAACAACTGTTCATATATGCACCTCACTCTTCATTTCCTCAACTTTCTGGCAGTGAAGCATATAGAGGTCTTCATAGCTGCCAATGTAGTGACCCTTTACCTCATTTTCATACTTCTCCTTGTAATGTGCCTAAAATATTCCAGGAGTTACAGTAGGGAAGCATGTCATAGAGAAACAGGCATTTAAAGTAAAAGTGTAGTGTCTGAGAATCTTGACTGAATCTTACGTCAGAGAACTTTTTGAGCACAGAGTCCATCTGGAACTTTGGTGTGTCGCAGTAGTTGATGCTGAAACCTCTGGATTTCTCATAGCTGGCCTTATATACTTTCTGTAAAGGAAACAGCAAAAAAAAAAACAGATATTTGGATTTGTGAATTCTTTAATTCATATTTTTGTTGAAATTGGACAGTATTAAAAAACAAAACCAAAGTAAAGGAAGAGGACGCACGTCACTAAGGATGGTGCCAGCGTATCTGAGCTGTCTGAGGAGTGGATTCTCTGTGGCAGGTAGCGTATTGTAATCACACTGGTCTTTTGACTTTTCATATTCCTTCTTGTATTGGACCTGAAAAAAGAAAGAGGAACATGCGAGTGAATACAGAGGAACACATGATTTAATATAAATATTAGTATCCTTCTCCTTCAGATTAGAGCCCATTTCAACAGGACTTGAGTTTTCCCCGGCTATCTTTAGTAAAGAGTGATCCCTCCCCGATTTCTTGCTCTGCACTGCCATTCAGCTGGCTGAAAGAGAACTATTGCACTTTTCTTTTTATCACAGGGAAGAGTAATTTGATCCCACGGAAACATCTTCAGCTGCTTTGTGTAGAAATCATAGGCTCCTTCGAGCCTAACTAGTTAGAAAGAATCAGATCATTTACATTATGCTCTATAAAAAATAAAATCTACAATATTATTCCCAAAATATAACAGTGGGTGGTTATTTTATATTTTGGCTCAAGCAAACAGCAAACATCTTAAAATAAGTGCATTTTGTCTTGAATGGAGGTGGTAAGTGCTTTGCCAATGGAACAAGATGATTTACATTTAAAAATAAGAAAAAGCAACTGCATTGTCTTATTACAAGCGCATATTATCTAATTATCTTATTTTAAGAGTAAAATAAATTACACTGAAAAAATGACGCAACGGTTTTTGGTATTTACTTAATCATATTTAGTTACTTTAACGCTATTGCTTCATGTTAGCAGGTTTGGACATAAAACAATGGTGTTAAAGTTACCAAATATGATTACATAAATGCCAAAAGAGCTGCATTATTTTATTCAGTGTACTCATTCCATTGGTAAATCATCTTATTTACCTACTAAAATAAAGGCCTGATTTAAGGAATTTTTCCTTATTTCTAGATAGTTTTTCCAGTGCACTGGAAAAAAATCAATATATAGAGAAGTAATTTTTCTTAAATTAAGTGCATTTGTTCTTGGATTGAGGTGGTAAAATAGACATTTTGCCAATGAAGGAGACAATTTACACTAAAAATAAGAAAACACAATTATCTAATCATCTTATTTTAGGGGTAAAAATACCCATTCCATTGGAAAACTACCTCATTTACCTACTCAAATTAAGGGTAAATACATTTAATTTAACAAGTTTCTAGATCGTTTTTCTAGTGTGAATGTACAACAATCCAAATAAAAACATTAAAAGCACCAATAAAATTCTTATCTATTACCACAACAGTTATTGCTTTTCCTGTTTTAAATAAAATGAAGTTAAATCTTGTTTTAAATCTTGCATAAATGCCATGTCATGATAAAGCCATATTTTTACTTAAGGACTAACTGAAGCAGAAAGGGTGCCAAACCGATCATTCTACACTGCAAAAAATAGAAATCTCAATAAGTTATTTTTTCTTAAAATAAGTGCGTTTTTCCTTGATTTGAGGAGGTAAGTAAGACACTTTGCCAATGGAACAAAACAATTTCCTTTTAAAATAAGAAAAAACTATTTTATCGTCTTATTTCAAGTAAATATTATCTAACTATCTTATTTTAAGAGTGAAAATACTCATTCCATTGGCAGATCATCTTATTTACCTGCTCAAATTAGGGCTAAATATACTTAATTTAAGCCATTTTTTACTTATTTCTGGATTGTTTTTGCAGTGTACACTGGAAAGAAATATGGAAATCTAGATAATTCATTGTTTCTTAAAATAAGTGCATTTGTTCTTGGATTGAAGAGGTAAAAGATAAATTTTTCCAATGGAACAAAACAATTTACATTAAAGATAAGAAAAAGCAACTGCAATATCTTGTTTCAGTTGCATGTGATCTAATTATCCTATTTAAGAGTAAAAATACTAAAAGTTGTTCTTGGATTGAGGAGGTAAAAGACACATTTTGCCAATGGAAAAAGATAATTTACATTTAAAATAAGAAAACCCAATTGCATTATCTTATTTTAAGAGTAAAAATACTTATTCTATTGGCAAACTATCTCATTTACTTACTCAAATTAAGGGTAAATACACTTAATTTAAGACATTTATCTAGATAATTTTTTTCCAGAGTATAAAAAAAAGATAGTAATAGAATGAACTAGAAAAAAGGATGTAGAAATGTGTCATATGCTGGTCCTGTGAGGCGCTCTAACTGCAGTGAATCCTTGCAGCGACGTTCATGCAGACTGTCAGGGTTTCTGCATCAAAAGTGACTCACACGGCTTTCTGAGACAAGGCACAACTATCTGTCATGTCTTCCAAATGAAATACGATCTAAAAAAAAACAACAACAATGAAATACCTTTTTTTAGAGCTTACCTCACTAGCAGCAATACGGGCCTTCTTGCATGAGTCATACACAGGTGTGTCGGTTTGCATGAAGTATATTTGGTCTTTTTTATTCTCATAATCTTGAGTGTATTTTCTCTGTAAATATATGGACAAAAAATTAAGTTACAGGGTGTGGATGTATATAAAAAAGTTAATAATATGATAATAACAATACTCACGTCACTAAGATTATCCATTGCCATCCTGGCAATGGCGATGTCAAAATAAGGCGTCTCACACCACTGACCCCTAACGTTTTTATTGTAGTCTTCCTTGTATTTAAGCTGTGGGGGGAAACAAAGAAATGGTTTTAATAGAGTTGGGATTTGTTGTTTCTCTAAAATAATGGATAAATAATAGTAACACTTCAGGATGCTCAATAAAAACCAAAGGAATCCCAAGAATGTGAGTAACTTGGACCTATTGTTAGCCTGTCTCTTGCAGCTCGGTAAAGACAGTAACGTTTAAAGAGCAGCTGGTCAGTTATTCTGAGCTGCAGCTCAGGGTTGGATTATATCTGTTTACCGTGTTTCTATAACTGCACATAGCTACAGGCATATTCTAAGCTTTTATCCAATTCAGTGAATTTTGTTCACAAATTAGACATTTTGTGATGTGAAAAAAAATGCCATCCAGAAATGAAAGTTGAAAAATCTTTAAAAAAAATGGTTTTAAGAGCAACTTTTCTGTTTTCTAAAATTGTTTTTTTTTTTTTATTATTTTTCATGTGTTAATTTTTAACATTTAAATTCCTTTTTTTATTGCTCTTTTCTAAATTGAGTTTTACGTATGACATTTTTTTAAAACTGTGTTTTCCAGGTCACATTCTCTTCCCTTCTGGGGGACGGCTTTTCTTTGGAGTGAGGAGCAAAGATTCTATTGGTCTGCATGCGGGTTAGCAGCAACATTTTAATTGGCTCTCCTTTAACATATAGAGAAGCTGATCAGTAAAACACATTTTGAAACGAAAAAAAAAAAATCTGAGAACTCAATAAAAAATAAAGACAAGTTTTGAAAAAATGAAACTATAAATCAGCAAAAATAAAATTGAAAAGGAAGAAAACTTTTTGAAAAATTAACCCTTTATAGGGCAAGTTACCGTTATAACTTATAAATGGAGTCCCCGCCCATCTCTCAGTGAGGTCTAGGAGCACAAGATCTATATCCAGCCATTTAGCACAGATCCTGCTACATGGCTGCACATCTGATTTTGTCATTTGACCAATTAGATAAGCCCTTGAATGATACATTACCTACTGTAAATTAAGTTGAAAAAAAAAAACTAACAAGTCAAGAAAAAAGGTAAAAAGCTAATTAAAAAGTAAATTAAAAATGTTAATAATCCTAGTTAACAATTATATTATATGTAAGTGCAAGTATTAGCATTAATGCCTCTACAGCCCCAAAAAAAATGTTTATTTCACTCTCAGTGTTTATCATGAATTTCTTATAGAAGCCCTTTTGTTATTTTTCAGGAAAGTTGGCATTTGTTGTTATTACTTTGACATTATGTTTATTACACTATTATTGACATTATTTTTGCCATCAAAATATATATATCTTTTTAATCTTACAAAGATAATAATAATAATAGGCTTTTGAAAATGTCATTTCTGGATTAAAACATTTCAAATGCACATTTGCAAAAACATTTTCTCTGCAAAAAATAAGGGTGCACATTTCACTCCATAGTCTGTTGTTTATATCGGTTATAGTAACAGGTGTAACTTACTGTCCAACTTTTACTCAGAGATGTTTTTCTCTTCTACTGGATTGAGCTTTAATAAACTTAATTTAATTAACTCATCAAAGCTCTTTAAAAACATAAAACTATTATCGTACAAAGCACAAAGCCAAAAATTTTAAATGGTATTGAAAAGGAGCTTTGGATAACATATATAGTTAAAGAAACTCAACAGTCCTTCTGGCTTCATTAACATTTACTTGATATGTCAATATTGAATATACTTGGATGGAGTTCTGCTTACATCGCTGCGCTGATCGGCAACTCTCCTGGCCAGCTCCATCTCAGGAGGATCCGCCAAGGACGTGTACTTGGCTTTGCGCTCATCGTGTCCCTTCTTATATTTAACCTGTGGAGGCAAATTCATTTATTTCATTTTTAAAAGGTTTCAAATTAGCCTTTTTTTTTTCTTTTTTTTTTTTACCATTTGTATAAAAGTCAAATACATTAATAGAAATAACAGGGAACCATGACAAATTCACCTACAATAATGCTCCCTAGCATTATAAAGATGCTTTGTTGATCATATATCTATTTTTTGTATGAAGAATAAAAATACAATAAATCTTTACATTAAGAAAATAAAACTAATACCAATAATATTCATCTTAACTTTGAAATCTGATTACATCCATACTATAAGCTTTAACATCTTGTAATTACAGATATAGAGCAGACCTCTATATAGCTTTCACTGGTAATGATCAGTAGATAGGTGGGGTTCAGCCTTTTGCATTGATTTTTGTCTATTTTGAACAATTTTTTTATTCAACAATCGCTCAGCGTTAAGCCTTTAATGCCTGAACCATAAAATAATTACCAGAAAATTACATTTTTTTTAAACTAGAATCTTCATACATAAGGAATTTACATGCAACTTATTCTGCATTTCCTGCTCACTACACGTATCTAAATCTTTAACAGCTCCCAGCACATTAGGAAGTTTTTAATTGTGTTTCCATTTATTCCTTTTTGGTATCCAACTTACATCACTGAGGACTTCCTGAGCCTTAGCTACCCTTCGCAACTCAGGGCTGTCACTGTAGGGGTAGTACAGGGTCTTCTCCTCGTCCCAGGCTTCTGTGTAAAGTTTCTGCAAACAAATTGTTTATTTCACAAATAGCATAACTCTAAAAATTAGGTCAATTTTTTCATTCATAAACAGAATTCCTTTCATTTTTAAATTAATATATAGATTGAATGGCTCATTGGACTTACCTTGCTATAGTTAGCAGCATTCTTCACAGCCAGAACCAGCTCAGGAGCATCGGGAGGCAGCAGGTACCTGTCCTTAGTCTCATCCCACTTCTGTCTGTACAGAACCTAAAGGAAAATAGTGCATTGAAATATAAAAGTCAGCTCTGCTTATTTATTTTTTTTAGAATTGGTTAGTAGAGGATATTTACCTTGCTGACCAGCTCTGACACATGCTTGACGTGGACAACCTCCCTAGCATCACCACCGTACAAGCTGGTTGTCCGAGCCTTGTTTCCCTCCATTCTGTATTTCACCTGTTAGCAACAGATTGGTTCGTTTTTATAGTGTATATTAAAGACAGAATCTTCTGTTCAAACGACTCTTAAGCTTTTAGTATCTTCAATCTCCACAGCCATCTGTAATACCTCACTCAGCTGCTCCTGGGCCTTCCTAATACGGATCAGTTCAGGGGTGTCAGTGGACAGAGCGGGAGGCGTCCCTCTGGACAAGTCATAAGCTTGGCGGTATTTATTCTGTCAGAGATACAGTAATAAGAAAATTATTCCATTTGAAAGGCAAATAAAAAAATATACCGGTATATACAAAAGTACTGAAATATAATGTAATATAATGGACTGTTTTATCTAAATTACAGAAATGATTTAGATTGATTTAAAATTGAGATCATACTACTGCAAGAAGTTCACTTTAGTTTACTTTCAAAAATGCATGTTTTCTTTTGTTTATAATTTAATTGTTCATTCATAACTAAGAGCTTTAAATGAACATTATTCAATGCATAATATTTAACATGATTTTTTTATTTTTGGGGAAAAAAAACACAAAATGAAATGTGAACATTTATACAATGTGAAAACTTTTTTCGTTTTGTTTTTAATTTAATTGTTTAATTATATCTGTTAATTATATACAGGATTTTTATTTTTTGAAAAAACAAAACAAAAAGAAATGTGAAACCTAAAAGTAGAGGAAATATAGACATTTGGTAACTTATTATTATTTAAATAATGCTTTAAATGATCTAGAAACTAAAACTTGTTTACTGTAAAAACAAAACTTCTAAACTTGAAACAGGACAAATAGTGAAATAAATAATGTTTTGCTCTACTTAATTGGACCTTACATCTAACTTAAAAATAAAAAAATCAAAGACAAGTAAAAAAAAAATATATATAAAAAAAATACCAAAAGAAATACTTAACAAGTAATTATAAGTCATGATGCCTTACATTGCTGAAAAGCTCCAGCATCTTCTGACTGTGGGCCAGATATGGAGTCATGAACTTGGAAGTATCCACTTTCACCTTCTTTCTGACTTTCCTGGTGGGCAAGCCAGACTGTACATAGAAAAAGCAACAGAAAAAAGTTAGGCTTTCTTTTATTTTTTACATTAAAAAAAAACTATATCTAAATAAGGCAAATCTTAAAATAAGTGAATTTTTGCTTGAATTGAGGAGGACAGTGAGAAGCTTTGCAGATGGAACAAGACAATTTACATTTAAAATAAGAAAAAGCAAGTGCATTTCCTTATTTCAAGTCTAATTTTAAGAGTAAAAATACTCATTCCATTGGCAAATGCTCTTATTTACCTGCTCAGATTCAGCATAATAATATTTATGACTTAGTTCTAGATTGTTTTTTGCATTGTACGGATTTGTTACAGATTTATCAATCATAGCAAAAATAACAGCCAGGAAAGCAGAAAAGATTTTCTAAAGCAAATGAAATAAAACATGATGCACTGAGGGAGGCCAGTATCCTTCTGAACTAACAAGCTAGAGTTTATCCTTTACTCTACTTATTTACCTTCAGCACAAAAAGTAATTCTAGCCAACAGTTATTAAATTCATTCAACATGAATGCCTGCATTATATGATGAAAGTATGTAAATCGCACTGAAGATGAAGGATGTTAAAACTGTGTGGGAACACAGTGAAAATTACCATAGCTGTGCATTTTGAGTCAACTATAGCATTAGCATAAAAAGTGATAAAATCCCCAAAAAATGTAGGAACATCATTTGTTTTCTACCAATTTATACAAACCCAAAGAGACAAAAAAGCCCAACATGATTAAAAAACTAAACAATTAAGTGATCAGCATAGAGTTACAGTTGGAGTGGCAGCCTAGTGGTTAGGGCACAGAGGTTGGAATCCAGAGGTTGTGAGTTCAAACCCCACTGCCACTCTGGCTCTCTGAGAAAGGCCTTAACCCCCACACTGCTCCCCAGGTGCTGCACGATGGCAGCCCACTGCTCCCCAAGGGGATGGGTTAAATGCAGAGGTAAACTTCTCCAATGTGAGATCAATAAAGTTTGATTATTTTTTGAAAATAAACTGACAAAAAATAAAAACACTTAAGTCAAATAGTTGGCAAGAGTGTCACTGATTCCACCTATTTTAGATTCTCTTTCCCTCATGCTAATGCCATGGGAGTTATGCTACATTTACCCAGAATGCAATTAGAGCACCACCGAAGTGTCTTCTGCTTCACGTTTAATGCTTGTATACATTAAGGTCAGATGCCCCTGTAGATCATCACAGATGCCAAGAATCTTACTCAGTTTCCACCATGCCATCCCCCTTCTTAAAAAAATCTTAAAAATCCCCCCCCCCCCCCCCCCCCCCCTTCTTAAATCACCATCCTGAATTACTGAATGTGTAAAATTTCTACCATATATTAACAGTAATGGCAATAATGTTGCCCTTTCAACAATTGGCAGGCTGTGGGCTTACGAGCAGCCTCAGCAAAATAAATAAAATTACTATGAAGCTGATCCCAGTAGGACATTTTTCCTCTGCATTTGTCATTACATTAGCAGCCATTTAAAATGTCCCTTCCCAGTGAAAAGCCACCCGAATGGCAGCAAAATCCCCTCCAACTTCCAGCCACTGGTCTTCTCCTGGTCGTGCATATTTTTTTTACTCTGACTCCACCCTTTCACTGAATTACAGGCTCTGACCAGGAGATAATACTTCTCTTTAGATCGTAATTTCCACAAATCATGACAGAAAGAATATTTCAGATGTTTAAAAAGGAATTTTAGGGGACTAGCCAAGGATCAGCCAAGGGCCCATCAAAGAAAGTGTGGAAATTTTAAATGGTTACTACTGTAAGTATGTTGGGGCAGTGATAGCCATGCCAGTTCTACTGTAAGGTGCCTTGGTCAAGATCCATGACCAGCGTACCTGACATGTAACAACCATAGCATGCATTTTGCTTTAGGTTAATAGACTATATTAATTAGGCTATGTATGCTCCCAAAAAGAAAAAAACACCATCCCACTTTTTTTCTTTTTACAACTAGACTACTGAGTTCTACTGGTTTCAACACCTTGTCTCTGTGTGGACAGGGCCTAAATATTAGCAAAACTTCAAGGTAGCTACCAAGCTCCCAGAACGCAAGATGATGTTTGAGGACATTTACTATTATTCAGCTTGGCTATCAAAACAACTTAAAATAAACAACTTAAAACATCCCTCACAATGTTGTGATCTCAGGTGAGGATATCTAAAAACATAAGTCCTTGCTCAGAGTCGGTTTTCATCATTCCAGCTGATTCAAGATCTGCATATTGACAAGTTTTGGTAAACATTTGCACTCTTTTAGTGATTTTGTGACTTTAATTAAAATGTCATATGTTTGCATGTCTCTTTGTTATGTTAAATGGTATTATGGGCCTCTGCATCACAATATATCGACATGAAATGAGGATATGTGGATGATTGAAAGTCCCTTTAAACTGGCCAAAAAAAATGTAAAGCATATACTGGAAAAAATCAAAATCTAGACGAGTTATTTTTTTCTTAAAATAAGTGCATTTGCCCTTGGATTAAGGTAGTAAAAGAAACATCTTGCCATGGAACAAGGCAATTTACACTAAGAATAAGAAAACAGAATAGCATTGTTTAATTTCAAGTGCATATTATCTAATTATCTTATTTATCAGAGTAAAAATACTCATTCCGTTGGCAAACTATCTCATTTACCTACTCAAATTAAGGGGAAATACACTTAATTTAAGACATTTTTACTTATTTCTAGATCGTTTTTCCAGTGTATATATAAGCAAAGCTTTAAAAGTACTTGATTAAAGGTTAGATTTAGACTTAGATTCTTTATTTTGTCGTATCTGATTATGCTACACTGGGAAAACGATCTAGAAATAAGTAAAACTGTCTTAAATTAGGTGTATTTACCCTTAATTTGAGTAGGTAAATGAGATAGTTTGCTAATGGAATCAGTATTTTTACACTTAAAATAAGATAATTAAATAATATGTACTTGAAATAAGACAATGCAGTTGAGTTTTCTTATTTTATGTGTAAATGCCTGGTTCCATTGGTAAAATTACTCTTTTACCTCCTCAATCCAAGAACAAATGCACCTATTTTAAGAAAAAATTACTTAAATAGATTTTTTTCCCAGAGTAAAGCACAAAAAAGTATTTTGTTTAAGGTTTAACAAGGTGTACTAAAAAATAAGTAGAAAGCTCTATATGAATGGTTTATGAAGCTGTTTAATTACCGTACAAGTGAATCAAAACTTCATCAATAAACAAAAAAAATACTCTTTCTCTAAGGCTTAAAGCTTTACAAGTGGTTTTTACAAGTTACATACAAACCATGCAAGGTTAAACTGAGCATGCATTAACTTTGGATAGAACATTTTCCTTCATTCAGGCATGCAGGGAAGATCGTCCTGCCCTGCTTGAACTGCTGTCCCTTGGGAGGAGGTGTTTTACCTGAGAGGACTGAGTATGATGCTCAGAGAACGTTGTGGTTGTAATCTGCTCGACATATTACAAAATATGGAAGAAATTTGGCGGTTTTCAGAAAAGTAATAGGAGAAACAGCATAGGGACTGAGGGTGATTTTTCCCACAGCTCTGGTATTAAACAGTTAATGCCTCCAGCTTTTTTTTTTTTATTCATTTATATGTTATGTAAGATACATCTGTCTACAGAAGAGAACATTTTCAAATCATATAGTTTTTTTAGTTTCTTTTTGCATTCTGTAAAAAAGCCTTCTACCGACTGGAAATGCTGTAGACGGGAGAAAAAGCCCAGCTACAAATAAACAATGATGTCACTGCGACAGCAGGTGACCTGAGCTCCTCTATTAAACAGAGGATCAAATGCATTATTATTATCTGTCATTTGAGCCATGCTGCTCACAATCTTTTATCCTTGCAATAAATTTAGACGCACCAGATGAGAAAATTTCTATTTCTTATTTCACACGTTGTTGCTTTGGTTGATCAGTTGCTACAGCAGTAGTATGACTCTGTATAATCTGAATAAAGGACTTTAATGGACTGTTTTATCTTAATTACAGAAGCGATTTAGAATTATCTCAAACTGAGATCATACTACTGCAGGAAGTTCACTTTGGTGTTTTCAAAAAGGAACGTTTCCTTTTGCTTTTTATTTGATTGACTCATTCATAACTAAGAGTTTTGAATGAAGATTATGCAAAATATGTAACATGATTTTTATTTTTGGAAGAAAAATGAAAAGAAATGTAAAAATTTAAACTAGAGAAATATGGTTGGCTATAAACATTTAGGAACTTATTATTTAAATAATGTTTCAAATGATCTAGAAACTAAAAAGTTTTTTATTGTAAGAGCAAAATGTAACTCTAAAAAATAATATTCTGAGCTAGAAATTAGACAAATTGTGAAATAATTTTTTGCCACACTTAACTGGACCTTACACCTCATTTAAAAAATCAAACAAACAAAAAAACTAAGTATAAGGGATATATTGGAATGTCAATAATAATTTTCGATAATTTTTGCAAAAATAATTTTTTCCTCTTCTGTTATTAAAAATAACTGTTCAGCTACATGGCTCTGAAACTTTTAAAAAACATCAGCATCTCTCCTGCAGGAGACTCTTGCACCGGTTCGGCCCCAGAAACCTAATTATCACATTATTTGTCACAAAGATTGTGCCTTATATCAATGAGCTACAGTACATTGAATGGCCTCTGTTTAGTTTTAAAGCTAATATCGGCTGATATAGATAATGTGCACAGAATATCCTGCATCCCTACTAAGTAAGCATCCATCCTCCTCCAAAACAGGTCCAAACATTATAAAAAAGGATATATAAAAAAAGTTTGAGAAGTTGCAGACTTTTTAAAGTAAAGGATCTCATGTAACCCAAATGAAAACTACTTTTTTAGAGTATTCAGTTTTACCTTTTCATCTTTAGTTCTAATATTTTATTTTCAGCTAAATAAAATCCTGAAAATTTTACCTACAGCTGGATGAGATAACCAGAGCAGAGAGAAAGAACATCTCAGTCATTTAGATCAACACTTGCAAAAGGCCTTAATATCCAAATCTATCAGACAGGAGAGAACCAGAGGTGGAGACCAACTCCATATCCCTACAACACAATGTGCGCTAACTGTTATTCATCGCCTACAGTGTTTTTTTATATGACCCCCTCTACCAAGCCAACTTTCATAACTAAGGTTAGCATGTAGAGAATATATTGGGGCATGATTTACAGCGCAGCTCGTCTCATTTTCAATCCCTCACACTCTCCCCCTTTACGTCTGCGTCCGTCTATGTGCTGGAGAAGTCAAATTCTAAATTTGTCTGAATGCCACTTAGAGATCTCTGAGATGCATTTTTTTTTTTAGGTCAAAGAAGTTTCTTGATGGAAATAAAATAAAAATAAAAAATCTTAAAAAAAAATCAAATAACAGATATAGCATTTCAATAAAGGAATTATTCATATTTAATATGCATAAAACATTTGCTATATAGTGTTTAAACATTGAATTACTTCTAAAATACCAAGATAGAGTATTTTCTAAATAAACATATGTTTCTCCCCATTCTGTAGATCGGATAGCAGGCCATTCTAGATCTTATGCACAAAAATGCTTTTTTTTTCTCCATAGCATCGATGAAAGTACTAGTGAAATCAGAGCGTATTAATTTCACACCTGTCCATGTGTCCCACCTCCCAAATGATTTGCATCTTTGCAGCAAAGATGGCAAATATTTTCCATGATACGTTATATGGGGGTAAAACGACAAAATAAAAAATGAAATGAATAGATTAATGAATAATTGGTGCACTTCAGCCAACAGAAATAAACAGCTTAGTCGTTTAGGCTCCCCTATAAGATATCAGCAACATTAAGAATATGGAATACAAGACTAACTTTAACCCCATTTCCAGTGGAAATACAGGATTAATAGTTAGCCTTCTGCTTTCACTCCTTCATCAACCCTTGCCACGGAGACAACAAACAGAGACAATAACACATCAGTAATCAAACATAAAACATCCTGGATTGCAAGTATATGCTTCATTCACATAATAAGGAGGAAAAATACAACTTAAATGTCACACATGAAGGATTTACACAGACCAAACAAATGTTTCTGTTCTGACATTTCTAAGTTATATTTTAAATATATATTTTCCAAATATGACGCTAGAAAACAGCGAAAACACCTAAACTTTAAACCCTTTACACGTACGGTTTTGCTCCAAAACTTCTAATAAAAAGAAGGAAATGAGACCCCAAAGATTTCCCTTAGCATCACAAACTATAAACAAGTTAATCCTGCAAATTTTCCCTATTCTGATGACAATAAAAACTGGAAAAGACGAGTCATGAAATGAGAAATTCACTTACCTGCTCCACAAAATCCTCCTCTTCCTCCTCCTCGAATTCCTCATAGTCATCTCCAGTGTCTGCCATTTTGGCAAAATTTAAAAGCTCTGAACGAAACAGAGATTACATTTTCAGCCATTAGCAACAACAGAAGCATCAATTACTCTAAAACATACATGTTCTTTGTCTCCTTTTAAAAACCTTTTAAAAAAAACAGTTTTAATTATCATTGACTGCTTAAACATCCTCCTCTTAGCTTAGTTTTGAGAGTATATGGAGAAACAGCGGTGATACATTTCTACTGTATGTCCTGATAGTAAGGAAGCTTCACTTGCCACTTGCGCCTCAGTCTGATTCCAACTCTGTGATTTGCCACACACCTGAATAAAATAACAAAATGTGTGAAACGTCTCAGTCAGATGTGTTTATCAATGCATACATATTTAAAAAAAGCAGTATGAGGAGTTTTATCTGCAATACTGAGGTTTTTAAGACCCCCCCCCTTTTAAATGCCACAACACAGCTGAGCGAATGGTGCCTCCTGAAGGTTAGCGACAGCTGCCCCAACAGGGCTTTCTGCTATTTGACATGTAAGCCAATGCCAGGACCTGATTGGCTGACTGAGTTTAGCAAACGGACATGCAATGCCTTCTGAGGCTGCAGGTTATATATAGGGTGGCATATTAACTACCTTTTTTAGCATCTGATTGCTATATCTTGAAATTAACTTAAATTGTATCTGTAAAACTAAGAACATTTGAAAGATTGCTGACACAAAAGGAGAAAATAGACATCAGGTTTTTAAAAGAGATCATAGCGGTGATCACAAAGTGATTTCAGGTAAATCCAAAGCTGGGTCTGATGTTCCTTTAGTCCTTAAGTTCTTGCTTGTTAAGTTATTCCTTAAAAATATAAGAAAGTTTTCTTGCTTCTTAATCCATAGCCGGCTCCTTCCAGATCCAAAAACCAGTAAAAAAAAAAAAGTGGATGTCCGAGCAGATGGAAAGCCATGCAGGTGGTATAAAAACACGTTTTTTTTTTGTTGATTTATCCTTTCCTTTGCTTACCAGTTATGTTATGTTTAATGGTCTCCCAAGCCGCCAAAGCCTTCCCAGCCTCCCTCCAGAGAAACGCTGGGCGACAGCACACAGCTGCACTTTCTAGCCAGGTTATCATGTGGCTTACACAACCAATCAGAGGCCTGAACTCTCAGGTTTCAAAATCTAAATATACCGAAGTGATCATTTCAGAAAGGAGCACCTGTCGAGAATAACGCATCAGTGGTACAGTTATGAGGAGGCCAGAGGAGCATTAGCTGTCAAGTCCCAAAAACACAACAGTAAAGCTCTGTGACCTGGTGGGTCATGCAAACTAGGCCAATTTAAACATCTAACATCTTTGTTTTTTGTTTTGTTTTTTTTAACTAAAACTAAATGTGTATCTGGAGAAGGTTAACATCAGAGCTGGCATAGCTGTGTTCTGATGAGGTCGCCCATCAGCTGGCTGCATCCTGTCGATAATCAGGTCAACAAAGTCAGAGCTTTGCACGCTTTTGGGTTGTAAAATGTTGTTATACATTTTTTTTAAGTTAAATGTAAAAAAAAATATCTGCTGCACAAATAAAGTGCCTTGCAGAAGTACCGAAGCATTCTTTTTTTTTTTTGCTACCTTTTATGTATTGATGCAAAGTGGGTGAAGCGGAAGGAAAGGATTCATAATTTTCCCAGTGGTTAAAAATTACACTCTTAAAAAGAGCTCAGGCTCAGACAGGAAACATCACTGAACATCATTTCTAGTCTTTTAAAAGGTGCTCAAACTGGATTTATCTCTGGACTTTGACTAGGCCAGTCTAATGAGTAGTGTTACTCTTGCTCTATTATGGTCACTGTCTTACTGGAAGGTAAACCTTCAACAAGGCCTCAAATGTTTAGCAGCTTCTATCTCCTAAACAATTCTAACTGGCTTCCCTTTTCTTGCAGAAAAAAACATTCCCAGTGCATGATGCTGCCACCACCCTGTTATGTGTTTGAAAAGGTTGTATCAGTGAGGTTAGTTCTACACCACCCCAAGAAATCTACAAGTTGGACATTTTCTATCCTAACTTTTCTGATCACAGCGCCTACTTCTTCAAGTTAGCTCATACTTGGATTGTGGGAAACTGTTACACTGGAAAAAATCTAAATCTAGATAAGTCATTTATTCATTTGCTCTTGGATTGAGGAGGTAAAAGAAACATTTTGCCCATGGAACAATACAATTTACATTAAAAGTAAGAAAAAACAATTGCATTGTTTTATTGAAAGTGCATATTATCTAATTGTCCTAATATAAGAGACAAAATACTTATTTCATTGGCAAATTATCTCATTTACCTACTGAAATTAAGGGTGAATACCCTTAATTTAAGAAATTTTTACTTATTTTTAGATCGTTTTTCCAGTGTAACAACTGCTTTGTCTCAAAAATAGCTTTCCTGCTGTCAGTCCTCCACAAAGGCTGGACTTTTTCAGTGGATTCATGCAGCTCCAGAGCTACTACAGGCCTATATGCTGTTTCTGATTGTCTTTTTGTTCAGTTTGTCAGTTTTGCATTCACAGACCTAAACTGAAAGTGTTATTATCTTATTTTAAGAGTGAAAAATTAAATTCCATTGGGAAATCATCATATTTACCTACTTAAATTAAGGATAAAGACACTTCATTTAAGAAATGCTGACTTATTGATAGTTTGTTTTTGCAGTGGTTTCTCAGTGATGGATTGAACCGTACTTTGTTAGATTTCCCACAACCTGACCCTTCTCTGGAGAGCCATAACATATCCTCTGCCCTGCCTGCTGTATTCCTTGGTTTTCATGATGCTGTTTAATGTTCCCTTATAGACCACTGAGCCCTTTACAGAATACCTGGATTTATACGTAGATAAAATAAGAGGTGGGTTTGGTTTACAAATCAAGGGGTCTCTAAAGGTAAGCAGTTCACTGCAAAAACAATCTTAAAATGAGTAAGAAATTCTTCAAATAAAAGTGTATTCACCCTTAAAGGTCCAGTTTTCTAATGCATTTTTTACCATGTGGCTTAAAGATCTCCCCACAGTCACTTAGCAAGCAGTGAAATAGAAGGTATGGAACTGAAACTAAAATAAATGTTCCCCGCTTTAGTGAGAAATCTATGACTAACTCCAACCAATCACAAAAGACGGTCCGATTGGTTCCATGACACGTCAATCATGGTCGCCTACTTGTCCCTCCCCCCTGTGTGCGCACCCTGACACATGAACAAATCGACCCCCCAATGTTCATGTACAGTAGGATGCCATGGCTCGAAGTTTTGAGTGGGTAAATAAGTTGAATTAGCAATGGAAGTAATATTTTTACGCTAAAAATAAGATAATTAGATATGATGCAATTGAAATAAGAGATTGCAGTTGGTTTTTCTTATTTTAAATGTAAATTGTCTTATTCCATTGGTAAAGTATCTCACTTACCTGCTCAATTAAAAGAAAAATGCACTTAATTTAAGAAACATTTACTTAGCAACACTAAAATGTTTTGCAGTCTTCAATCAGAATTGTTTTTAGGAAAATTTCCCGTTATTTGTATCATATTTTTTGTTGGTACGTCACTTAAATTTCCATTATAAGAAAAGTTGGTTAGTGTTGTTTAAGTGTTTTGGTTTGAGGTTTTCTGGGTGTTTTTGTTGATCATACTGCATCTTGGTGGTCGTCTTTGGTTGCTCTGGTTTCCACATTTCAAATACGCCAAACTGCAAATGGTTCTGAAATAAAAAAAAAAATAAAAAAAATGAAGGAATGGTCACATTGACATAGTTACTTATGGTCATATCTGTAGCCAGATCAACTACTGTGAGATTTAAAACTACAGGTACAAAGGTAAGGTTGAATGGCAACTTATTAAAGTGAACAGTGAGGAAAATGGTAGGAGTGAAAGAAAATCTGCAGGACTTTCTGCAGCCAAACGTGTTATCTTAAGGCCAGAGAGTCTCAATAACTATTTATACATGTTTCCTATTGGTGCCAATAAATGAGGAGGGTGACATTCGTGGAGCATGTATCAAATTTAGCTATTTACTTTTATGATTAATATTTGAGGATATAAGGAAAGAATAAAAATAAAAAAAATGTTAAAAGAGATGCTTGTTTAGCAGGCAGTTTTTTTCATGTTTTTTCTTGGATATCATATTGTAAAATACTAATTAAATTAATATATTCATCATAGCAGCACTATTTGGTGAGAGGAAAATAAAACGTTCACAATCATCATTAATGCTCTGTCAAAAACGGCATTTTATTTTTATTATTCATAATTTAAAATGTAAGAAAATGCATCAATCTTTCTTTTCTGATATTATTATAGCATTAGCATGGAAATAAAATAATAATAATCTCAATTAGGGTGTTTTTTTTTTTAGTTTGTTTAACAAGGGAATTAATTTTTCTACCACAGGTAGGTATTTAGAAATCTTTATGTAGGATTATAGAAATTTGGTAACTTTGGAGTTAGTCAAGGAAAACCAGAGACATATTTACAGATATGGAAATGGAAGCAAATGAAAAAAAAGGAAAAAATTTTACTTGAGAAGTACTTTCTTACATATTTAAAAATGATTTGTGTCTTATTTCTGGAACGTCTATACTCTTGCTCTGTCCCAGGAGCAAGAGAGATGGACAGCAGCAGATGACAGTCTCTCTTTCCCAGTTTTGAAAGATGTCATGCACCTCAAGCGGACTGCTGCTTCATTACAGTCCAACCGACCCAGCAGCTCTCATCTTATTTGCAAATAAATAAAAACATTTGAAGGTGAATTTATCAAATACACTTCAATATTTCTTTATTAAATATGATTTGGTTTATACCATGTACCCAGTGTCTTTTCTATTTTATGTATTTATTACAGTGTACAACTGTAATGAGTAGTGTAAAAGTGAAAAAAAAAAAAAAAAAATACGTATTATTGATTGCTGGTGTTTGCTTTGCTGTTCACAAACCTCATTGTTAACAGGTTTAATTTAGTTATCTATTTTTTTTTTATAATTACTTTCTAATTGTGCAGACCAGGAGTCTGCAACTATGGAGGACCAAGAACGTCACTGAAATAGAACAACCATTTTGCTCTTTATTTATACTATTAGAAATCAAAGATGAGAATTGCATATTTTAAATTAAGTTATTAAAGAGGAATTGGGTTTATTCATTCAATTAAACACTGCAATTTGAAAATGCATTTTCAAATTCCATTTTCATTTGTAAATGGAGATTTAAAAAACATTCATTCATTAATCCAAACATAAATACCTTTGGGATCTTGTTCACGAATGAGGGAAGAAGGGAGCGGGAGATCAACAGGCGGATTGGTGCAGCGTCTGCCGTGAAGCGGGCGCTGTACCGGTCTGTCGTGGTGAAGAGAGAGCTGAGTCAAAAAGCGAAGCTCTCGATTTACCGGTCGATCTACGTTCCTACCCTCATCTATGGTCATGAACTATGGGTCATGACCGAAAGAACGAGATTGCGGATACAAGCGGCCGAAATGGGTTTCCTCCGTAGGGTGGCTGGGCTCTCCCTTAGAGATAGGGTGAGAAGCTTGGTCATCCGGGAGGGACTCGGAGTAGAGCCGCTGTTCCTCCACGTCGAGAGGAGCCAGTTGAGGTGGCTTGGGCATCTGTTTAGGATGCGTCCTGGACGCCTCCCTGGTGAGGTGTTCCAGGCACGTCCCACCGGGGGGAAGCCCCGGGGAGAACCCAGGACACACTGGAGAGACTATGTTTCTCGGCTGGCCTGGGAACGCCTTGGGGTTCCTCCTGAAGAGCTGGAAGAAGTGGCTGGGGAGAGGGAAGTCTGGGCCTCCCTTCTTAAGCTGCTGCCCCCGCGACCCGACCCCGGATAAGCGGAGGAAGATGGATGGATGGATAAATACCTTTCCTCATAACACATTTAAAAATGTAATTCCATAATCTATTTACATTTTCTTTTTCAAATCACTGTTGCAGTGGGATTTTCTTTTTGCTTCACCTTGTTTACCCTTTCCTTGAACCATCCCTGAGTGTACTGAAAACCAGTTAAACCAATAACAGTTGCTCCTCAGATGTAACCATTTCTCATTGGTTAGATGAGCCACACCTGGTTCACAAAAAGAACAATGACGCAAATAACAGATTTTAA